TCTTTCCCAAATGCCTTCTCCAACTACAACTGTCCTGTACCGCTATTTTTTATGGACTTCTTCTCAGTAACGACAGTAACTTACTGCATGTTCTTGTCTTCTTATCTACTAGCTCTACTGAAGAAAAGCCTCATTGTGGACAGGACCTAATCAAATTTCATGTTCCTGATACCTCAACACATGCTCAGAGCACAGCAGGCACTAAAAAAATATTCTGAATAAATGAATGAACAAACTGGAACACTCTTGGCATAATTCACTATCTAGCTAATTCCTTTAAGATTCAATTTCACAGCCGGACTCACACTGCACTCCAGTCTGGGCAACAGAGTGAGACTCCAACTCAAAAAAAAAAAAAAAAAAAAAAAAAGAAAATACAAAAACAAGCCGGGCTTGGTGGCTCAGCCTGTAATCCCAGCACTTTGGGAGGCTGAGGTTAGTGGATTGCCTGAGCCCGCGGGTTCGAAACCCGCCTGGGCAACTTGGTGAGACCTCATCTCTACAATAAATCAAAATGAGCTGGGTGTGGTAGCGCGCGCCTGTAGTTCCAGCTACTTGGAAGGCTGAGGCGGAAGGATCACTGGAGCCCAGCAGGTGGAGGCTGCGGTGGCCAGGAGCGGCCATTGCACTCCAGTCTGGGTGGCAGAGTGAGACTCAAACTCAAAAAAAAAAAAAAAAAAGATTCAGTTTCACATTGCTTCTTGTAGAAAACCTTTTCTAAGCCCTCATGTGTGGGTTGAGTTCCTCTTCTGCACGCCCATGGCAGTCTGTGTTACTGCTCTAATCACACAATATTAACATTATTTGTTTATGTCTCTTGCACTAGGTTTGTAAACTTCCTTGAAAGCAGATGTCTATTATCTTTGAATCTTGAGGGCTTAATGTTGTACTAATATAGTTCTAAGTAGTACATAGTAGGTATTCAATACAGGTTTTCTGAGTAAATAAACAGCTGTGATTGGTACTAAATGCCAGGGTCCACATAATTCACTCAAGATACCAGCTTCCATTTTAGGGTTCCCAAGACAACTCTCAATGCTGATTTTGCACCTTTTAGTTGCTCAACCCAACCTGAGAGGCTCAGGTATAGAGAAAGTAGCAGGGGACTACAGGTTGCAAATAGGACACTTTCTGAAAATTAGAAGGACTATGGGAGAGACAAAGTAAAAACAAATGAGCATCTGTCAGCAAAATTATTAAAAATCAAGATAAGAGGTATGATATTAGACACCAGCAGAGAATCTTGACACAAGAGGAACAAATTAGTTCTCTACAGATAAAGTTATTATAGGCAACTATGGATAGTTTCTGGCCCTATCGGGTATGTATGAGAAGGTACGCTTACATACTCCAAGCATTATTAAAGAGAACACTCACCATGTGCCAAGCACTGTGCTTACTACTTTACATGCAATGTCATTTATTATCCCTGATACCCTTATGAGGTAGATACTATTACCTCCAAGATAGCCAATGCTCCCTGCCTGCTGAATCCACATCTTTTTGGAGTTCCTTCTTATATTGTTACAGGACTGGTCTGTGTTATCAGTAGAATATGGCAGAAGTGATGGTATGTCACTGTGGAGATTAGGCTATAAAGACTATGGTTTCCATCTCAACTATTCACTTTCTTTCAGGCCAGTCATTCTGGGAGAAGCCTGCAGTAACAGCCACATGAGTGAGCTTGGATAGTGGATCCTCCAACCCTAGCCAAACCTTCAGATGACCTCAGTCCAAGCCAATAGCTTGACTGCAACCTCAGAAGAGATCCTGACAAGCTCCTAGCTAAGCCATGATCATTATTACTTTCAAAGATATGTCAGATGTTTGTTGCCTTCAGCTGCTAAATTTGCAGGTAATTTGTTACATAGCAACAGATAACCAATAACTATTATCCCCACTTGAGAGGTAAGAAAATTTGGATTCAGGAACGATAAGATTCTTGACCAAACATACATAGAGCTGGCATTCAAACCCATTTCTGAAGCTCTAAAAGCCTAATTTCTTAGCCACTTTGGTATACGGTCTCATATATATGCTCAGTCTTATGTCACATTGCTTATTTGTTCCAATTAAATTAAACAAATACCTAAAATATACCTAATAGTAAAAATACACTATACCGTAGGTAATCTGCTAAGTGCCACCAGAGAAATAAGAAAGGACTAAATAGGTTATCTCCTCATGGATTTTATTCTAAACAATTTAACAAGTATTTGCTCTCAAGTACCTAGTAGCTCTCCGGTGATCTGTGAGAGCCGTCTAGTGTCAATTCTGTTGAATTGCAACCTGCACAGTTAACAAAATAAATGTAAAAGTCACATTTTATACGATTTGAATCCTATTAATTTGAAAGAATGTAAAGCATTGAGTACTCTATGTCCAAAATGTACACAGTAAAAAATGAGAAATAATGCCAATTTTTACATTTATTCAGTCTTAAATTTCTCGATTCTAAATGACATAAGGTATTCATTCAATATATGAGGGGGGATGCAAAAAAAAAAAAAAAGTAACCCAGAATAATCTTTTGGAGGGCAGGCCCTTTGTAGTACACTTGGAATTTGTTCCTCCGGACAATGGCCAACCAAAGTTTTTAATCTGGAAGTTTTGAGAAGGTTGCATCACAATTTGCAGAAGAAACAGCCTGAGTTGTGGCAGACAGATTCTTCCACCATGAAAACATACCTACCCACACTACGCTGAATGTTCAGTAGTGTAGGACCAAAAACAGCATGATCTCTGAGACCCCTCACTATTCACCCAATCTTAATCTGAACAACTTTTTTTTGTTTCCTCGGATGGAAAAAGTCCTCAAAGGGAAATGTTTTGCCCAGATGGCAAAGGTAAAACAAAAAATGACAAAAGCACAAAAAGGCATCTAAACTGACAAGTTCAAAAACTGTTTTAAGCAGTGGAAAAAGCATCTCGATAGGTGTATTGCATCACATGGAGAGTATTTTGAAGGTGACTGAAATTTAAATATGTCAGAATAAATTCACAATTTTTAATTAATAAATTCCAGGGTTTTTGGGTCCCCCCCTCATGAAACTAGCAATCTAAATACTCTATACGGATGGTTTTCTAACTTCAGGCATTTCCTTTTCTGATCTCTGGCAAATCCGTATATCTTCAGAAGTTTCTTTTTCTTAAGAGAAAATAGGCATGGAAAAATCAGATAACATATATCAGATAACATATTCGAGAATACAGTTGATCCTCATTAATCTGCAAATTACAAATTTGCTAAAATTTATTTGTAACCCCCAAATCAATACTTGGAGTACTTTCATGGTCATTCATGGACATGTGCAGAGTGGTGAAAACTTGAATTGCCTAATGTGCACTTTCCCAGTAAGGCTGAACAAGGTTGCATTCTGTGTATGTTGCAGGCTCGCTCTGCTGCCCAGACTGGAATGCAGTGGCACATACATGACTACTGCAGCCTTGACCTGCTGGGCTCCCGTGATCCTTTTGCCTCAGCCTTCCAAGTCGCTGGAACTACAGGCATGCACCACCACGCCTAGCTAATTTTTTTTTAAATTATGGAGATGAAGTCTCACCAAATTTCCCAGGATGGTCTCGAACCCCTTGCCTCCATCTCCCAAAGATTACAGGCATAAGCCACCATGCTCAGCTTACATTCTGCTTTCTTATTTTGGCTCTTAAACAAGTGACATTTTCACAGTATATTTAATGCCGTGCTTTTCACATTTTGTGTTTTCACTGTTTGTTTATTTATTTATTTATTTTTATTTTTATTTTAAAGATGTAGGGTACAATTCAGGGTTCAGATTTCACTGTTTAAAAATGTCCCCTCCCAAGCATAGTGTTGAAGTACTGTCTAGTACTCTTAAGCACAAGAAGCCTGATGTGTCTTATGGAGAAAATAAGGTGTTACACTTCCTTCAGGCAAGAGTTATAGTGCTAGATAGTTCAGTGGCTGTGAGTTCAATATTAAGAATCAGCAATATATATTAAAGAAGGTTTTTAAGCAGAAACACACATAAAACCAGGTTATTTACTGATCAGTTGATTAAAATGTTATGACCAGAGGTTCGTGGGAGCCTAAACCTGTATGTTCTTGATAATGACAGAATATAACTACCACAAATGAAAATCAACTGTACATGCTAGTAACTGGTATTCTCTATTCTATCCTCATTTCCAAGGTATTACAACAGGAAGTTTAGTTATTCAAGGTTTGAAGTAGTCCTGAGTGGACTGAGCACTACATCTGAAATTCATACGGTGTAAAGAGTAAGTTTCTATAGTATTATCTAATTAAACTTTGTTCTATACACAAAGATGGGCTAGTAATAGTTTCCTAGCATATATTAAAATGAAAGCATCAGCCGGGCTCAGTGGCTCAGCCTGTAATCCTGCGCCTTTGGGAGGCTGAGGTGAGTTCGAGACCCGCCTGGGCAGCGAGACCTCATCTCTACAATAAATCAAAAAATCAGCCGGGCGTGGTAGCGCATGCCTGTAATTCCAGCTACTTGGAAGGCTGAGGCGGAAGGATCGCCAGAGCCCAGCAGGTCGAGGCTGCGGTGGCCGGGAGCAGCCACTGCACTACAGTCTAGGCGACAGAGTGAGACTCCAACTAAAAAAAAAAAAAAAAAAAAAAAAAAAATGAAAGCATCACTATTAAAATTTTTAAGCATACATATAGGTATTATCAAAACTATCTCATGTACCACCTAATGGTTCATGTATCGACACTGATAGATAAATCACATTTGGGCAAACATTGCTGTAGATACCATAGAAAAAGTTATTATCAAACTTTTCAATTATGAAGATCCCTTTTAATAAATTTTGCAAGCTCCCCTCTGAAAGTAGTTATACTTTTCCTCAATTCAGATTAGAAATACTACTATAGATTATAATACAAAACAGTATATAGCACTTAGCATGGAAACAGTACAGAGAAAGTGTGATGGCATATAAAATGAATATTTTAACAGATGATCCATCAAGAAACAATATTTTGGTTATACCTGAAACTGTGTTAAATTGTTGAGATAACGGCTTAGAATCACATTGAAGACCCAGAGACTCTGCATTAGTGACAGGTTGCTGCCTCCACGGAGGATGTTCCGATAAGATGTTCTTTGCTGCCACTGGCCGGGGCCTCTGTCCTTCATTAAGTTCACCCACACTGTTTTCCAAGTCCTTTAAGCAGTAGAAACATTTTTAAAAACTATTATATATTAAAATCAAGTCAAACAGAAAATATTTGTCAAATATCACAATCTATACCATTTGACTGCTTGGAAAGTACTTTAGAAAGTACTGATTATGCCACCTATAGATTACTTGCAAGGAAAGTTTAAAAAGTTAGTTTAATAAGACATTTAAGTGAAAGGCTTTGTTTTTAATTTTTTAAATGAAGTTAACATTATCTGTTTTTGAACTTCCAATTAAATAGCAATAAAACATAAGAAAAATTTGATTGTAATTTTTTTAAAAATTAGAAAATGTAGTTTATGTAAAAGTAAATTAGAGAGAGTGAAGATTCACCTCCCCAAGGTGGGGAGGAGGCCAAAGCCAGGAAGCATGACGACAGCCACAGCTCAAAGAGCACATAGCCACACCAGAGTCTAGAAAGGCTATGGCCCTTGATCATAATTTAAAGTACTAAATGCTGGTGTACCTTATGCATTGTTCATACAACTTAAAATTAGAATAACTAAAAATTTCTCTCTCATTCTTCATGCATAAAAATTGCCTGACTTTACCTGAATGATGACCATTTGTATACCTAATCCTGATTTGTACCACACATCTTTAAAATAAAGTAACAAATAAATTCTAAAAAATTGCTTAAAGGTTTTTAGTGTGAACTTTGCAATCTAACAATTGATGAAGAGAAAAATATACCATAAGCAGCATAAAGACTGTCCTTAAGTAAAAATTATATTTTTTACAAGTACACAGATTGAAGAAGGCTACTTTAATATGTTTTAAAATCATATCTAAGTAATGAGGGACTTATTATATTTTCTTTCTGTATTAAAAATGATATATCCAGCCGGATTCGGTGGCTCAGCCTGTAATCCCGCGCTTTGGGAGGTCGAGGTGAGTGGATTGCCTGAGCCCGCGGGATTGAGACCCGCCTGGGTAACTTGGCGAGACCTCACCTCTACAATAAATAAAAAATTAGCCAGGTGTGGTAGCGTGCACCTATAATTCCGGCTACTTGGAAGGCTGAGGCAGAAGGATCACCAGAGCCCAGCAGGTTGAGGCTGCGGTGACCAGGAGTGGCCACTGCACTCCAGTCTGGGCGTCAGAGTGAGACTCCAACTCAAAAAAAAAAAAAAAAAAAAGATATATCCTAGTCACTAGTACATTTTATGACTTGGAGATATTCGAATTAATGAATTTGCTAATCAAAGATTGAATAAAAATTCCAATACCCCAAAGCTCTCACGTTTCTCATTCAAAAGGGGTTTAGACCAGGTGTGGTGGCTCACGCCTATAATCCCAGCACTTCTGGAGGCTAAGGCAGGAAGACTGCTTGAGCCCAAGAGATTGAGACCAGCATGGGCAACATAGCGAGATTTCATCTCTTTCCCCTTAATTCACCTCTCTCCCCCTTTCCTCCTTTCTTCCTCTATCCCTCTCTTAGCTTACTGGTTTCTACTAAGCATCTTCATTTGATGAGAAGTATGAGAGTACTTTCCTGAGTTTAGCAACACAGCTATCATATTTTTCCAGTGAAATCAATTTTTGGTCAATAGCTAACTGAAGTTGCAGAAAATTTAATTATTTCTTAGTAAGAAGGGATAAGTTTTTATATTTTCTACTACTATATTTTATATCTTCTGCCTTTCCTAATCATTAATAATTTTAAGAATAAAAATAGAAGCCGGGCTTGGTGGCTCAGCCTGTAATCTCGCACCTTTGGGAGGCTGAGGTGAGTGGATTGCCTGAGCCCGCGGGTTCGAGACCCGCCTGGGCAGCGAGACCTCATCTCTACAATAAATCAAAAAATCAGCCGGGCGTGGTAGTGCATGCCTGTAATTCCGGCTACTCGGAAGGCTGAGGTGGAAGGATCGCCAGAGCCCAGCAGGCGAGGCTATGGTGGCCGGGAGTAGCCGCTGCACTCCAGGCTGGGCGACAGTGAGACTCCAACTCAAAAAATAAAAAAAGAATAAAAATAGAAAATAGGCTGGGCACAGTGGTTCAAGCCTGTAATCCTAGCACTTTGGGAGGCAGAGGCAAAAAGGATTGTCTGAGCACAAGTGTTTCAGACCAGCCTGGGCAACTTGGTGAGACCTCGTCTCTACAATAAATCAAAAAAGAAGCTGGGCGTGGTAGTTCCAGCTACTTGAAAGGCTGAGGCAGGATTGCCTGAGCCCAGCAGGCCGAGGCTGCAGCGGCCGTGAGCATTCCACTGCACTTGAGCCTGGGCAACAGAGTGAGACTCTGACCACGCTCCCCTCGCAAAAAAGAAAAGAAAATGTAACTGACCATCTCCTTGGGTCCTACGTAGTCTTCAGATCTCCAGTTCAACCAAAGCCAGTTTCACATTCTTTCAAGCAAAGACAACTAGTAGAATAGAAAGGGCACTAAATAGAGATCAAGAATCCTAGTTCCACCTCCATCATTAATGAGACTGAGTGATGAAGCTATACACTTCCACCTGGAATTTCCTTAAGCACCTGAAATTGATGTGTCAAACTGAACCACTATCTTCCCAACAAAACTTAGCACTCTTCTCTACATTTCTAAGCCAACAACTACATAATTACCCACCCAGAAAACCAAGGTAGAAACCTCTAGATTATCCTTAAAAAATTCTTCTTCCTTACCACCCTTAAGCAATGACCAATTACTGTCAGCGCCCTTCAATTTAAGTCTCCCTCCTCTCTACATCTGTGGTAACTGTCTTTGTTCACGATCTCATTTTCTCATGCTGGAACCCTCTAAACCAGTGGTATTCTAACAGATCTCCCATTTCTTCCTCAATTGTCCATGGCTCAATACTCCTTCCTAAATATCTTAGCAGGTGACTCCCTTGCCCAAAAACCTTCAGGAGCTCCACAGTGCCCAAGCCTTGCCATGGCCTAAATAAAAGTTTCTTTATGATCATCTAGTTCAATATACTTCTCCAGATTATCTGACTCTATATCTAAAGTTCTAGCCACTGTGAGATTTTCAACACTTTTTAAATAAGCCCTAATATTTTTTGGCTCTTGTCCTTTGACATATGCTATTTCTGGCTTCTGAAATGTCCTTCCTTTTCATTGCTGCTCACAAAGTCCTACTCAGTCTTTAAAGACCTAGATCAGTATTAATATCCTGTAGAAAGCTATCCAACTCTAGGCAGAGTCTTCCCTCCTCTGTGCTCACAAAGGACAAATATAGCTATTTGATCAGTTATTACCAGTGAATAATTACTTATTTAAGCCCTTGTCTTCCTCCATGACCGGAAACTACTTAAAAGGGTCATCTTTTGGTCATTTTTGTATCTTCTCCAAGGTTGTATCTGGTAGATACTCAGTAAATAGTTGCAGAAACAAAGCTTCAGTTTTTTTCAACTATAGAATAAGAGGGCTAGAATAGATGGTCTAAATTCCTTTCAGTTATAAAACTCTACAGTTCTATGATTCTAGGTTAATGTTGCTACAATACTGACCCCTGAATAAATAAATATTTATTTATTAGCATGTTTTAACTAAAAGTAGAAATATTTTAACTTTTTCCTATATCTATATCTAACCAAAAAAATCATTAAGGTTAAAAAGTACCTCCGAGCCGGGCACGGTGGCTCACGCCTGTAATCCCAGCACTTTGGAAGGCGGAGGGAGAGGACTGCCTGAGCTCAGGGCTTCAAGGCCAGCCTGGGCAACTTGGTGAGACATCGTCTCTACAATAAATAAAAAAATTAGCCAGGTGTGGTGGTGTACACCTGTAGTTCCAGCTACATGGAAGGCTAAGGGAGAATGACTGCCTGAGCACAGCAAGTTGAAGCTGTGGTGGCCATAAGCATGCCACTCCAGCATGGGTGACAGAGTGAGACTTAAAAAAAAAAAGTACCTCCAAATGATAGACTGCTTGCTGAAACACTAATGATTCCTGGTTCTGTTTAGCATGAAGAGAAAGAATTGTATCTGTAGTCACTTGTCCTTCACTGGGAGGATCATCTTCCTAAAAGAAACATAAAGACAATTAATACAACAAAAGATGTTAGTAAGTAATTGCATTTTTCTCAATGTATGATTAATAAAAACAACAGTCATCACATGATGATTTTTTTGGACAGATGTATTCTTTTTTTTTTTGAGTTGGAGTCTCACTCTGTCGCCAGACTGGAATGTAGTGGCCGCTCCCCGCCACCACAGCCTTGACCTGCTGAGCTCCGGCAATCCTTCCGCCTCAGCCTTCCAAGTAGCTGTAACTACAGGTGCGCGCTACCATGCCCGGCTAATTTTTTTGATTTATCGTAGAGACGAGGTCTCGCCAAGTTGCCCAGGCGGGTCTCGAACCCTCGGGCTCAGGCAACAGATGGTTTCTTTATTTTTCATTTAGTTTTCACTTTCATTTGACTATAATAAAAACCCTTTATATTTGCCTCAAATATAAACAACAGTATAACCCTAATTTGGTAACATGTAAACTGGAGATTTATTATAAAAACATGAAAATTGAACCATCTGTCCCATGCAATTTTGTTACAGTGATTAATAAATATTTTCTTTGATGCCATCAAGTCTTTGGCTCACACAGTTTCCAACTTCCTATTTATGCAGTACACAAAGCAATGCTACAATGTGGCAATGGGGGTAAAAACTACAAAGAGCCCCTCCATGACTCTTTGCCTTTGAGCTGACATCTGGCTTACTTGGCTAGGGAGCAGAGACTGAGTGCCCTCACTGGAGCACCCTGTAAATGCTTCCTCATGTCCTACAACAGACCTGTTCCAACATGAGGGCCAGTGTGGGCCTCAGAGTCAGACATTGGATTCCCTTGTAAATAGAGGTTATTAACACAATCTTAAGTTCATTCAGAGTTTTATTTATTTATTTGTTTGTTTGTTTAGAGTCAGAGTCTTACTCTGTCACCCAGGCTGGAATACAGTGGCACGTTCACGGCCACCCCAGTGTCGACTTGCTGGACTCAGGCGAACCTTCTGCCTCAGTCTTCCAAGTAGCCGGAACTACAGGTGTGCGCTACGATGCCTGGCTAATTTTTTTTTATATATTGTAGAGACAAGGTCTCACCAAGTTGCCCAGACTGGTCTGAGACCCATGGGCTCAGGCAATCCTCTTGCCTCAGTCTCCCAAAGTGCTGGGATTACAGGTTTGAGCCACCACACCCAGCAATTGTTTTATTTTTTTAAAGAAATAAAGTTTATTAACTTGGGACTATAAGTCCATATTCCCTAGTTGTATATAAATGTCTACTGGTACATGACTCCAATCTATTATGGATTTTTCCAGATTGTTATTTTACATTTGACTTCATTATGAATTTGTAGCATATCTGATTTAGCCACAGTAAAAATATCAAATTATAATTTAGTTTCAAACACAGAAAAGAAACAAGTTATAATTTGGTCTCAATTCAGTTTAGCTATTTAATTTAAAGAAACTTAAACATGCTTTGGCATCTGATAAAGTTCTAAGAATGGATAAAAATGCTACAATGGCATATTAAGTAGGCCAAAATGTTAGTATAGTGCTTCTCTGAAAAATAAAGATATCTCATTTATGCCTTCTTCCCATATTGCTTCATAAAAGCGACTGCACTATCTTTATAGTTGACCCAACCAATTACTTGAGGTAAATAATCACTGCTAAAAAATTAATTGTTTCAGATCTGGCACACTGACTCATGCTTGTAATCTCAGTACTTTGAGAGGCTAGGAATTCAAGGTTGCAGTGAGCTATTATTGTGCCACTGCACTCCAGCCTGGGTGACAGAACAAGATCCTGTCTCAAAAAATATTAACTGTCCCATTCAAATCTTATTAAAAAACTCTTTAATGAAGCGTTTTTATACTCTTGTGTGAAATAACATTTTTTTTAAAGTTACAATAATGGTAGCAAAATATGTGAATAAATAAATGTACATTATAGTTGAGAACAATTACCTTTCCTTGCTTAGGTTGTTTGAAAATATATAAAAAATAAAAAATTTTATTCCTTAAAAGTCTTTTCAGGCTGGGCTCGGTGGCTCAAACTGTAATCCCCGCGCTTTGGGAGGCCGAGGTGAGTGAATTGCCTGAGCCCGCGGGATTGAGACACGCCTGGACAACTTGGCGAGACATCATCTCTACAATAAATCAAAAATTAGCTGGGCGTGGTAGCACACACCTGTAGTTCCAGCTACTTGGAAGGCTGAAGCGGAAGGATCGCCGGAGCCCAGCAGGTAGAGGTTGCAGTGGCCGGGAGTGGCCACTGCACTCCAGTCTGGGTGACAGAGTGAGACTCTGACTCAGAAAAAAAGAAAAAAGAAAAAGGCTTTTCAAAGGAAAATTTCTCTACTATAATTTCTGTATGAAACTTACATTATATATAATATATTTTAAATGCCAATTTTTTTCTTCTGAAGACTAGATAATAACTAGGAAGGGTCAGTATTCTTGGATCTTACTTGTCTTTCTTTTTCAGTCATTAAATTTTTATATTCATTAGCACAAAAGATTATAATAATGGTTAGGGGAAAACAAATGTAATACAAGAAAGTTGGTTTGAGGAGCTAAGATCCGGCCTAAAATATTGTAATGACAACATAAGCAGGTGAAATTTATCACTGAACTAGATTTCATTATCTAATTTCATTAAATGTGTATTTTTCCTTTTTTTAATCTTTTGTAGAACTCACAGTCTATAAATGTGTATTCTTTGACTAGTGAAGCCACGGAAGTTAATAATACTTTTTAAAAATTCTCACAGGCCTGAATGAAACGTACTTGTATACCTAACCCTTAACTGTACCCCACAACACCATAATAAAAAATATTGAATATTTTTTCCAAAAAAAATAAATAAAATTCTCAGTTATGATAAATTATATAATGAAATGTGTACGAAACCTTAAATTATTTAAGGATATTTTACTAAATTTTGTATCTATAACTTAAATAATTGAGAAGACACCTAATAAATGGCAACAAGTTTGTCAAGATGCTCCTTTGTCAGAATTCAATGTTGGAATAAATCATTCCTTACCATTTCAAGAGCATCACGTAGAGTGCTGGATAAGCTATCATTTAGGTTTGTCAGACATAATCCTCCATCTCCTAAAACTAGAAAATAAAATGTAGAAATTTAGAAAAAAGAAGAAACATAAATTTAGTTAATAATCTGACCATAAAGCCATAGAACGTCACATTTAAACTTACACCACAATGAAAATATTGGCAAAATACAAGTAATTCACAAACTACTCAATCTCACCAGCTTTTTAAAAAGTGCAACTTATAACAAAGATGAGATTTTTTGTTTTATCTACCAGCTTGTCAGAAATTAAAAAGAACTATAAATGTCAACTATAGCTATGTAATTGAGAAATGGACATTCCTACAGACTGATGATGTAATTAAATCTGATTACAATTGTAAGCTAAAAACCTTTTAAGTTGGCAATGTATCTGTACTTTAAATTGCACTCAGCATTTCCACTTCTAGGCATGTATTCTAAGGAAATTATCAGATAAGTGCACAAAGACATGTATATGTGCAAGGATGGTCACTGTGTTTGTACAGCCTGGAAATACTGAAAACAGTCTAGCCGGGCTCAGTGGCTCAGCCTGTAATCCCACGCCTTTGGGAGGCTGAGGTGAGTGGATTGCCTGAGCCTGCAGGTTCGAGACCCGCCTGGGCAACTTGGCGAGACCTCATCTCTACAATAAATCAAAAATTAGCTGGGCGTGGTAGCGCGTATCTGTAGTTCCAGCTACTTCGAAGGCTGAGGCGGAAGGATCGCCGGAGCCCAGTAGGTCGAGGCTGCGGTGGCCGGGAACGGCCACTGCACTCCAGTCTGGGCGACAGAGTGAGACTTCAACTCAAAAAAAAAAAAAAAAAAAAAGCAACAAAAAACAATCTAAATGCCCTGCACTAAGGCCTTTAAATAGACTACACAGTCATTTAAAAAACGAAGTAAATCTATATGAACTGATATTGAAAGATGTCCACAATATATTATTAAGCAAAAAATTTATGCTTCAAAACAATATACATAGTATGATCCTATCTCAAAGATAAACATACACATAATATGCATGTATTTAGGTGATTATATATGCATGAACAAAAAAAAGACTTGAAGGGCATACACCAAACTGTTAAGGATGATATTCTTTCTGGAGGGTGATTTTACTTTCTGAAATTAAGACACAGAAAAGTTAACTAAATTACACAGATCCCCTATTCTTTTTAGTATACCATGTTAAATCTTTCAAATTAACTAAAAACACTTTAAACAGAAAAATATTACTTAGGGAATCATCATAATCTAACCAATGAAATCTATTAATATAAATTAACTTACTCTTGGAAGCCAATTTTTTACCATAGCTACATAAAATTTCTCCTTCAGAGATGGTTCTAACTAGAGTTTCCGTTTCAGTGACACTCAAGGTGCTTTCCAGTGTTGACGAACCAGAATTTGGTGTCTGTGAGGGGGAAGGAGCCTTGGTGCTGGCAGAAAATGGTGTAAGGGGAACTGGCTCTGGAGGTGCAGGCTGAGCAGGGAAATCCATACTCTCAGGTTCTTCATCCTTAGCCACAGACATTACACTAAGAAGATAAAGGCATATTTTGAACTTATTAGGTCACTGAAGGCCTACATTCACTTTGATATAAAAAAATTGACTCAACGGTACTATGTCTCCTTTAGCAAGGTATTTCTATAATCTGCACGCCTAAAACTATCAGGATCTATTTTTCTAAAATTGTTTTTATGCTTTAATCATAGGCCATCTTGAAAGCTCTTCTGGCCATAAAATGAATCTACAAAAGGACATACAGTAATATAAACTGATCATAGTAAATAATGATCCATACTGGGGAGAAGTTGCCTTCTATTTCTTAACAATATAAGAGATAGCTTTCTTTATTTCAGTGCTTCAAGCTTTTTAAGAAAAGGTAATGGTATAAGTTTGATAAAAATTTTTAAAAACTAAATTTATGAAACTTCTTCCAAAGTATAAAGTAGTTTGTTGTTTATAAACCTTGTTTCTCACTTCTATGTTTCCAATGGGTCACATAAATCAAGCTTAAGTTGGAACATATAGTTACTAGGGAACATGTTTGCATTTACATGGCTTTTGGATGAAGATGCTCTTCTTGAAGAGAGCTCGGGTTCTCTTCTTCCAGTGGCAGGTCTCCATTACCCCATGGCTTGGGAAGCTCTGGACCTAATACCTTCACTTTATCAATGGAAATCTCTGACAAGGTTGGAGTAAGGGCTGCTGCTGGAGGAGGTGTAGCAACAGGAGTAACTGCTGGAGTAGTAAAAGGTGTGATGGCAGGCATTTCACTTCCTAAGTACATATTTTTTTAAAAGACAGGAAAAAGTAAGTCAGTAAACAACTCCATAGGAAGGCAAGATACATTGCTTCAGACATCCCTTAACATTTTGGCATACTGATAATAGTAATAATAACTAATAATGATGATGATAATGGTAGCCATTAATGGGAAAACTCCTACACTAATTTAGTAAAGCATAGACATCACTTATAACACTACTATATACTTAAAGTAGTCCAAGCATCTACTGGATTATGTACTTTAAGAAGTGGCAACCAATTCCCATGCTTCCTTGCAAGAAAAAAATGGTTTACTAAAACCTAGTAAGCAACAAGTAGCATATCTTGACCTATTTAAGCATTAACTTATAAGACAATTATGAAATTTTATTTAATATTGCTAAAATTAAAACTGAGTTATAGGAATACGGTTTCTACCATTTTCAGCAAATACTTCGTCCACAGGAAAAGCCACATCATGAGCTGAATCGCAGGGAGAAGAATCTGGAGTTTTTACTAACACCTGTTCCTTAGGAGGTGATGAGGGTGAGCAGGGAGGTGTTGGCTGTGGGGTAGCCACTGGAGTACATACTCTTGCCTAAAATAAGTTAATAAAACAAGATAAATTGTGCTTATAATCACCTAAGTAAAAGTACTTTGACATAACAGTTTGAGCTCATGCACAGGCTGCATGTGATTTAAATGGATGAGAGGAAAACTGAAGCCTTAAGTACTTTTGTCTCTTCAATGGCTAGCTGTTAGTCTAAGACTGGCCAGCAGAAAGCCTCAGGCAATTGAAATAACTCTGCCTCTGTAGTAGGCCCCAAAGAAGTCAATGCCCTCTTTTAAAACAAAGAGGAAGATTAAACAGATAAAGTTGAAGATCAAACCCAACTACAAACTTGAAGGACAGGCCATGAAACAGAAAGGAAGCATTTTAACTGATGATATTATATCCTTTGTAGCAATGTGAACGCAGCTGGAAGCGATTATTCTTAGTGAATTAACACAAACTGAAAACTGAATACTGCATGTTCTCACTTATAAGTGGGAGCAAAACACTGGGTACACTTGGGCATAAGGATGGGACAACAGAAAATGGGGACTCCTAACGGGGGTGGAGGGAGGAAAATAAGGGTTGAAAAACTACCCACTGGGTATCATGCTTACTACCTGAATAACAGGTTCAACAGAAGCCTAAGCCTCACCATCACACAATATACCTATAAATAAACCTGCACATGTACACCTTGAATCTAAAAAAAATTTTGGTTTAAATCAAACTTTTAGCACAAAATAACACAGCACGTAAAAAGTAATGGAAGGATAAGAAAAGTGGGGATTGGGAAGCGATGAAGACAATAGGGAAATGGAAAGTACTGGGGAAGGAAAAAATTGAACAATTTAACATTAATTTGCTGAATTGGTAGTCATTAAAATGGTTTAGAATTCAAACAGTACAAAAGGATAATAGTGCAAATTATCACTATCCTACTCATCTTTTCTACCCAGCACCCTTCCTTAGAGTTATCAAATAATCTTGACTTAAGTCACTTACTATGTACATTGATTTATCTACAGAATTAATTTCCAGAAGTGCAATTGCTCTGTTAAAGAGCTTAATGTGTTTTTAATTTGAATAGATATTGCCAAATTTCCTGCTATAGGATTTTACTCGTTTACACTACCACCAGAAGGTATAAGAATGCCCATTTCTCCAAGGCTTATCAATACTTCAGAGTTTTACCTATTTGATCCGTAAAACTGGAATTTCAGTAAATTTTTTTCTTATGATTAGTGAGGTTAACTGTCTTCATCTTTTCATAAGTATATGGGCAATTTGTGTGTGGGGGGGTATCTAGTCATTTCCTTTGCCCATTTAAAATATACATTATTTGTCTTTTTCTTTCCATTATAAAAAGTCTTTCTTAGGATGATTAGCTTTTATTCTGTATTATGAGTTGCAAATTAACATGCAATTTAAAGGCATGAAGCATATTAGAAATGCTATAGCATTGCTTAATAATTAACATATTCTTAGTCTTCAGTTTAAAATGAAAGAAATACATGAAGGGAGTGATGGCTCATGCCTATAATCTCAGCATTTTGGGAGGCTGAAGTAGAAGGATCACTTGAGGTCAGAAGTTCAAGACTAGCCTAGGCAACATAGCAAAGTCCCACTTCTACAAAAAAAAAATGTTTTAAAAATAGCAAAATAAAATATATTTAAAAGGTCAAAAAGCTAAGAAAAGTCATGGCAACTCTGAGGATAAGGAATAACAAATCAAGAGGAAAGAAGGAGAGCTTGCCCTACTATATATTCAGTAAGCAAATTTTGGTAAAACCATGGTCAAAACTCTTAAGTATTCTACCACTATCATACAGATAAGACTAAAGTAACAGAGGTTGAGGTTCGAATTCTGGTGTTACCAACTTCAAAATCCAGGCTATTTACACTGGTTTTTCTACATTTTCTAATATAATCACCCTCATGAAAATATATGCAGTACACGGACAAAAATCAAACCAAAGTAATTGACACAGAGAAAAACATAAACCTAACATTTGTACCACATGCATTACTAATGAGCTAATAAAGCACAGATCAAAACTATAGAGCAAATGCTTAGCACACTAATCAAAGGATACCACACCAATCTTTATCAGAGTCAAATACGATAATATATCAACTTTATGTTAAAACAGCGAATGAATTTAAATGTTTTAGCTATATAAAATGTGGTCAATAGGCTACAAATGACTACAAAGTTGTTTTTTTTTAATATATCAATATTTTTAATTTTGATATTGTGGGGTACAGTTAAGGGTTAGGTATACAAATATGCTTCTTTTTTTTGTTTGTTTTTTGAGTTGGGGTCTCACACTGTCGCCCGCTGGAGTGCAGTGGTACACTCACGGCCCACCTCAGCGTCAACCTACTGGGCTCTGGCAATCCTTCCACCTCAGCCTTCCAAGTAGCCAGAACTATACCTGGCTAATTTTGTATTTATTGTAGAGATGAGGTCTTGCCAAGTTGCCCAGGCTGTTCTTGAACCCCCTCGGCTCAGGCAATTCACTCGCCTCAGTCTCCTAAAGTGCTGGGATTATAGGCTGAGCCATTGAGCCCAGCCTGACTATAGAGTTTTAAACGATGGTAATACAGAGCAAATTTTGGCTATGTATGATTTCATGTTGCCATAATAGGTTAGAAATTCTATTTAATATAGTAAGACTAATTAAATAAACAATAAAAGTACCTAAAATATAATTGCTTCTGATGATTAAAAACATCGGTTTATATAACCCAAAGTAACCTCTGATCCTTGGTTACATCTGATTTAAAAAAAAAAAAAAACTGGTGGGCTCGGAGGCTCAGCCTGAAGTCCCAACACTTTGGGAGGCAGAGGCAAGTGGATTGCCTGAGGCTGCAGGTTTGAGACCAGCCCATGCAACTTGTCAAGGCCTCATCTCTAAAACAAATAAAAAATCAGCTGGGCATGGTAGCACACACCTGTAGTTGTGGCTACTTGGAAGGTTGAGGGGGAAGGATTGCCAGAACCCAGTAGGTCTTCGCTGGGGTGGCCATGAGCGTGCCACTGCACTCCAGCCTGGGCGACGGAGTGAGACTCCAACTCAAATTTTAAAAAAAGCCATAAAGAACCGGGCTCGGTGGCTCAGCCTATAATCCCGTGTCTTTGGGAGGCTGAGGTGAGTGGATTGCCTGAGCCCGCGGGTTCAAGACCCACCTGGGCAGTGAGACCTCATCTCTACAATAAATCAAAAAATCAGCCAGGTGTGGTAGCGCATGCCTGTAATTCCGGCTATTCAGAAGGCTGAGGTGGAAGGATCGCCGGAGACCAGCAGGCAAGGCTGCGGTGGCCGGGAGCAGCCACTGCACTCCAGTCTGGGCGACAGAGTGAGACTCCAACTCAAAAAAAAAAAAAAAAAAAAAGCCATAAGGGACATTTTTTGAACAACTGGAAAAATTTGAATATGGTCTCTACATTCTATATTATTAATATATCAATGTTGGCTGGGCATGGTGGCTCACACCTGTAATCCCAGCACTTTGGGAGGCCAAGGCGAGAGAACTGCCTAAGCCAAGGAGTTCGAGGCCAGCCTGGGCAACTTGGCAAGACCTCGTCTCTACAATAAATCAAAAAATTAGTCTGGCATGGTGGAGCATTCCTGTGGTTCCAGCTACTTGGAAGGCTGAGGCAGAAATATTGCCTGAGTCCAGCAGGCTGAGGTCGTGGTAACCATGAGTGTGTCACTACACTCCAGCCTAGGCGCCAGAGTGAGACTCTGACTCAAAAAAAAAAAAAAAAAAAAAATTAAACTTGGGATGTCTTATAATGGAATGCCATTTATGTAAGAAAGCATCTTATTTTTGGAAGATGCTGCTGATGTTTTTGAGGTAAAATGTCATGATGTCTGCATCTGCAACTTTCAATTGGCTTTTAAAGGATATATAATATATAGCACATATAACAACAGATTTATAATATGCCAAAATATTATCAATTGCTGAATACAGATCCTTGAAAAATACAAATTTGGAGTGTTAAGGTCCACTTACACAAGGATTCTTTTTCAACCAAACACGAAACAAAAATACAGTATTCGTGGGATATGGAACCCACATATGTGGAGGGTTAACATTTCTTTTTTTTTATAATCAATATTTTTTATTATGATATTGTGGGATACAGTTAAAGGTTAGGTATACAAATATGCTTTGTTCAGGCACCCTTGTTGCTAAGAGCTGTCTCTTTGTCCCCAGACAGATATTTACTATTGTTAATCCCACCTCCCTTCCCCTCCCCCCCAACAGTTTCCCACCACTGTCAGTCATTTTCTTGGGTTAACATTTCATTTACCTGGGTTCTATAGGGCCAACTGCAGGACTTGAGTATGAGAGGATTTTGGTGTACATAGTGGTCCTGGAACCAATCCCCAATGTACATGGAGGGACAATGAAATAGTAAACGGTACAGATGATCACCGTGTCACACTTTGAACTATTCTACAGATTTAAAAGTTTTTAAAAGAAAATGTTCGGGAAAATGTTACTATTACTTTAACTATAGCAACAAGAGGATAACATAGTGAGACCTTGTCTAAATAAATAGCCTTATTTTTATATAATAATATTTACATAACAACAAAAATCCATAATAAGATTAACAGTCTTATGGTATGCAGTTTAAAATTTACCTATATTTCTGTTCTTTAATAAATGTAACAAAAATTCCCCAGAACTCTAAGTCATGACAGGAGAGTCATTCCTACCCGTAAGAATGTTTCATTTGTTGAAACATCCCCAGAAGCACTTGTAGCAGCAGGTCCTTGCTTCTTTGTTTCTCTGTCACCCAGCATGACAGCAATAATCTCAGCAAGAGCTTCATTCACAAAATGGCTAATCATGTCTGAATTCACAGGAACTCCAGCATCAACAAAAAGCTGTAGAGCACCACTGCTTGTGCCTTCCACTAAAAAATGAAAGAATTTCAGAAATAACTGAGCAAGAAACATGCTTGAAACTCAAACCTTAATTCTTAAAATTTTAGAGATACCAATATATGTGTATATAGGGTGGGAAGAGGAATACAAATGAAAATATAAACATACCTACTTATCATGAAAAAGACTAAGATGATAACTTGCATAACAAACATCCTCTCTAAACAAACCAAATACTGATGAAATATACTTATATGACCTGTTTTTCCCTACTACTATAGAATTTAGTGATAAAAAGGTCTTGCATCCACATTAAATGTCCTCATCTGAAAAAAATCCACATTTTTAAGAGTAGAGCAACAGGAAGCTCTATGACAGATCTTGACCAAAACAAAAGAACACACTAAATATGAAGGCAAACTTTCCTTCTTTCTAGTTTCAGGTACATCAGTTATGAACATTATAGGCTCATCTTCCTAAAACCTCTATAGCAGTTTAGGTGTTTGTTATCAGACGTCCTATGGGTATATTAATTTTCGGAATGGGCTGACTTTTCGCCAACATGTATGTACATACAATTAAGTAAAACATCCTAAAGAGACTTTACTCAACTTTAAGTGGTGAAATTTATAAAGCTCTGTGTGGAAAATATGTGAGCAATGGCCTGTATAATCTGATGGAGAAATAAGTACTCCTTTAGGGTACTCCTTAACTAGTGCAACTATGACAGCAATATCTAGAATTCCCTCAAAAGTGAGAAGTGAGTATAAGCATCTAGGGATCACTTGCTGAGTTATAACAGCAATTTACTCTGGAGTTACCACAGCAGAGACTATTTCAATCCCAAATTTATATTCAACAACGTATGCTGATACATTTCCTTTTTAGTTTCCATAATTCGATGTTTGGGCATGACCAAAAATCAGAGCATCTCTTTTAAAAGGTACAAAAGCTCTATGCAAACACTGGCAAAACAAAAACAAACAAACACGCTTTTACAGAGAAGAGAATGGGATCTAATGACCAATTTGGATATTTTAAAATTTTCATCCAGGAAAACATACATTTTCTTGTAATTGTGTTGTTTATTCTTTTTCTTCTTTTCAAAAAATGGGATAGTAACAGTGGGAAAGAAAACCTGGGGTAGTAACAGTAGAAGCAGGCACATGAGAGATACTAAATAATATGAATTAACCAAGTGTGACAATAAACTGCATGGAGCTGGGATGTAGACTATGGCTGAGTGGGAACTGAGAAAGTGCAAAGAAAACAAAACTGATCAATAACTCCAAGGCTTTAGAGATTGGGTGCTGGGAAAACTGTGATATAATTAGCAAAAATATAGAACAAAGAAAGAGAAGGTTTGGATAGAAAATGAGACACATTTTGGACAGGCCAGGGATGGGATGCCAGTGGAGCATCAAGTGGAATATTCATCAACAGGCAGAACTACAAGTTTTCAGCCAGATGCATGGCTTAGGGGTCATCAACTGACACAGGATAACTAATGGCAAGGGGAACTAGAAAAATATAATAAAGGTCAGAGCACAGAAACTATAAATAAATTTTAGATGAGTAGCAGAAAATAAAATGGGAAAAATGAAGGTCTTGAAAAAGTTAAAAAAAAAAAAACCCAGGAGGAAGAGCAACAGAATAAAGTCTAAGAAGACAAAACCAGTAGAACATTTTATGAATCACAGGTGTCAATAGAGCCCATGCCTGAGCCATCTAGTAAAACAAGAATTTGAAAAAGAGAAGTGTTTCTGAACCAAATGCTGTGAGAAAGAGGTTTCTTGAAGGGGGAGGGCAGAAAGCAAACCCCTAAGGACTAAAGAGAAGGCAGACCATGAGAAATTAAAATCAAAGCAGTAAATACAGACTCTGCTAAATCTTTCCCAAAGTGGGTGCACTATTTGGACTGTTAAAGGATAGTCTATGAGGGAGAAAAAGTCGGTTATTGTGAGACTAGAAAGAAGGAAAAAAAGTAGAGATAATGATACACAGAATTTTTTTTTAAAAAAAAGAACATTTAGTTTTTCTTTTCTTTTCTTTTCTTTTTTTTTTAGTCAGAGTCTCACTCTGTCACCCAGGCTAGAGTGCAGTGGCACACTCACAGCCACCACATCCTTGACCCACTGGGCTCAGACAATCCTTCTGCCTTGCCTTCCAAGTAGCTGGAACCACAGGTGTGCGCCACAACGCCTGGTTAATTTTTAAAATTTATTGTAAGGACAAGGTCTCACCAAGCTGCCTAGGCTGGTCTGGAACCCCCGTCATCAGGCAATCCTCTAACCTCTGCCTTCTGAATTGCTGGGATTAGAGGCGTGAGCCACCACGCCCAGCTGACAAAGAACTTTATACTCAATAATATTAAAACACAAACTCCAATTTAAAAATGGGCACAAGATTTGAAAAGATACTTCACCAAATATACAGATGGCAAAAAGCACATGAAAAGGTGCACATCATTAGCCATCATTAATAATTACACTACTTAGTTATTAATATAATTAGGGAAATGCAAATAAAAACCACAATGAGCCATTTCCACATATGTTTGGAACAGCTAGAACTAATACTGACAACAACAAGTGTTGGAGAGGATATGGAGCAACAGGAATTCTCATATACTTCTGGGTGAAATGCAAAATAGTGCACCCACTTTGGGAAAAATTTAGCAGTTTCTTATGAAGTGAAACATTTACTTATCATATTACCAACCAAAATTAAAAGATGTATCTAAATGAAGATTTGTTTGCAAATGTTCATAGCAGCTTAATCCATAACAGCCAAAACTAAAAGACTATAAATGTGTATCAGCTGGCAAATGGGCTAATAAATAATGATATAGCTACACAGTATAATACTACATGCAATAGCATGATCATCAAAACAGTATGCTAAATGAAAGAAGCTAGCCAGTAAACGACTAAATAGTCTATGGTTACATATGTATGAAATTCTAAAGGATTGACAATGGCGGGAAACTATGGGGGGGAAAGAGAGGGACAGGGAGGTGAGATTAACGGTAGTCAATATCTGTCTGGGGAAGTGGGGCACACACCTCATCAACAAGAGTACCTGCACAATGCATATCTGTATACCTAACACTTAACTGTACCCCACAATTTTAAAATAAAAAATATAATTAAAAATAAATAAATAAAAGAAATTCTAGAAAAGATAAAAATACAGTGAGGCCAATGGGCACGAGTAGGGGGTAAGAAATGGACTGCAAAGTGGCATACTGGAACTTGAGGGAATGATGGAAATGTTTTTGTATCTCATGTATAGCTAGTGTATAGCTATGTATATTTCTCAAAATTTGTCAAACTATACATTAAGAATTGGTGAATTTCATGGCAAGTAAACTAAACCTCAAAAAGCTCATGGAAAAGAGGGAGGAGGGAAAAAAGAGAAAAGGGGGAGGAGGAGGAAGAGGAGGAGAAAGAAATTTTTTTTTAATGGAGAAGAGGAGAAGGGGAAAGATACAGAGGAAGAAAGAGGAAAAGAATGGCATGGGCTCCATAAAGAGGCTCATTTCACCATTCCACGAATACTTAAACTCTTATGAGGTGCTAGTCAAGGACTAGGCACTAAAGGATAAACAGCATTAATCCTGAGTTGTATATAGATAGTGAGTGAGACAGATATGTAAACCAACCATAACATAATCTGATAATTACTTTAGCAAAAACATATATAAATTAATATGGGAATAAAAGATTTGAGGTGGGAGATACAGAGAATGGCTTAATAATCTGAAAGCTGCATTATGAAATAAGGGGTGAGAGAGAATCAGCCATCACCACAGGGAAGTACAGGGAGATGAGATTGGAAGAGCTTATCTTTTGTCACTTGGAGGAATTACTTGACCTCTGGAACATATAAATCCACAACAGACTAAAGGTTTTGTCCTTTAATAATAACAATGTCACTTACCAATGTCAGAAGTCAGTGGTTCGCTTGCCTCACTGACTGAAACACTGACATCAGGTATGGCATGTTGCTGGATTGGAAAGAGCCCAGAGATAATTCTTGACATTATTTCTTGTTCTACCCTGGGGGGATAAAAGTTAATATTCCTAAATTTAATTGAAATGTATAAAATGTTAGACATACTACACTTAAAAATAAACTTTACCCATGGACACAAACATTTACATGTGAAAGCAGTTAAATATGAAAAACTAAATCTGGAAAAAAGAAAAATATAAAATGTTATCTCCTAAACAAGATAAACCGCATGAAACTGAATCTCTTTATGGGACATAGTTCATAAAATCAAATTGAAATCTTTCAGATTAGTCTAATGAAAAGCTAATTTAACTCCTAAATTAAAATACTATGGGTCGATGATGAATTGGTATATTATACACCGAAACTGTCTCATTCCCACTTTGAAAGCATGCATATAAAACCATGTAAGATCAGAGCTAGAAAAGAAGTCCAGTTGCCCTCTCTTCAAGGAACTAAATATAAAGGCTGTGATACAGGGTACCTTTCCTTTTAACACGCCTGTAATCCCAACACTTTGGGAAGCCTAGGTAGCAGGACAGCTGGAGCCCAAGAGTTCAAGAGCAGCCTGGGCAACACAGCAAGACCTTGTCTCTACAAAATAAATATTTCTAAAAATTGGCGGGGCACGGTGGCACACGACTGTAATCCCAGCTACTCAGGAGGCTGAAGCAGAAGGATCTCTTGAGCCCAGGAGGTTGAGTCTACAGTGAACCTGACAGTGCCACAGCACTCCAACCACAGCGACAGAGTGAGAAGCCTAGTCAAAAATTAATAAATAAATATTTTTAGGTCATTTTCAGGAAGGGGAAGGGGAACACAATAGGAGACTTTTCTGGTACATTTATTTAGAGCAACTCATAGACGTCTTTAAAAATATTATTAAGCAAATAATCAAAGATATAATCAAAAAATAATTTTCACTGCAGAAAATATATAAAAATTATTTAAAAATTAATAAGGCTCATTCTCAAACCTATATTCAGGGATAAACATAGTTAATTTGGTATATATGCTTTTTAAACTCTTGTTCAATGTATATTTATTTTTGAGTAAGTTCTTGGGGTTACATTGTTAGTATCCTGCTTTGTTTATATACCAGTATAGTATTAATACCTTGCTTTGCTTATATACCATTATGGTATGAATATCTTTTAACATCATTAAATATTCTTCTAAATCTAAATTTTAGTAACTATATTAATATTCAGTCATTTTGTTTACTTCATAACTTCCTTAAGGCTTCTCACAAGTAAAAATAGAGATAATATTAGAGTTCATTTTATATTCTTATGCAACATGTAATAACAAATTATAATTGTTGGTATAATATGTAATAATTGTAATATGTAAACAATTGTAACATGTAACAATCATTACACATTATGACTTATTGTTTGTAAGTATGCAAGAAACTCAAAACAATGCCTCCTTGTAGTGCTAGGTATGGTATGACCTAGCAACAGAACCATTAACTATTTCCTTAGGATACATTTCTGGAAGGGAATCACTGGATTAAAGAATACGTACATTTTTTTTTTAAGTTGTAGTCTCACTCTGTTGCCCAGACTGGAGTGCAGTGGCACGTTCCCAGCCACCGCAGCCTCGACCTACTGGGCTCCGGCAATCCTTCTGCCTCAGCCTTCCAAGCAGCTGGAACTACAGGCGCGCGCTACCACACCCGGCTAATTTTTGATTTATTGTAGAGATGAGGTCTCGCCAAGTTGCCAAGGCGGGTCTTGAACCCGTGGGCTCAGGCAAACCACTCACCTCAGTCTTCCAAAGCGCTGGGATTACAGGCTGAGCCACCGAGCCCAGCCAGAATATGTACATTTTTAAGGCTTCTGTTACTTAACATGAGTCTCCTTTGCTGTAGTAGGCAGCTTAAGTACAAATACTCAAGGACAGAAACAATATCTCTAACAATTAGTTAAGTTCTCAGCATTACATCAAATACATTCCAGCGACTAAAGCAAAGAAAGTTTAATAAACAAAAGAAAACAGAGAAGATTTTTCAACCAAAATTTAATACTATTCATTTATATTTTATTCATACCAGTACCACTGTAAACTCACCACCGAATTAAGCTATTTTCCAATGTTTCTTTTCTCTCAATCACTTTATCCAGAATATCAGCAGTAGGCTGAAGGGTAGAAGCAACTGGTGGAAATGGAGGACCATTATATTTTGTAGCATCAACTTTAACACTTCTGTTAAACTCTAGAACTGGTTCAGAGTCTGGAATTTCATCATGTTCTTCCTCTTCCTGGTAACAGTAAAAACAAAGTATTATATTCATGTATCTGTTTAATATTTACTGAGTACCAATGATAAGTAGGAAAATTAATCAACACTTCTAAATTAATTAACAGTATTTCTAATTAGATAGCATCACACTAACTAACATATATACAACTGGCAAAAATACATATCAGATTGAAAAAATTTTAATTACACCATTAGTTTAACTTTTTAAAACCCAATATTCATTTTATACAATCATAAAATAAACTAGAATTTTATTCCTGCATAAAGCATTATTAACATTTCCCTCTAGAAATTTATAAACTTAATTTACCATCAAAAAAAACAAAACTAATGCTTTCAAATATCACTGTTTGCTCTTTCAGAACCTGTAATTTACCTTTAAATATGCAATTAGACCATCTTACACATTATTTGTATCATCACATCATGATCAAAATAGTTATTTCTGGAATTTTAAAACTTTTTGCTATGAAAAATATCACACGTGCTTAAAAGTAAACACAATAACGCCCATATACTATATCTGCTCTATATAAATAACATGAAGCATGTAATTATCAATTCATGGTTAACTTCGTGTCATCTAGACTGTCCCGCATTCACTTTCCTCTTCACTCATTTTGCAATAAATCACAGATTATCATTTTGTCTATAAATAATTCAATATATATCTTTTTAAAAGTTCAGTTTCTTTAAATATTGTAACTCAATAATATCCCATTGAAAAATCAAGTCCACAGCTAATAAGTGGCAGAAGAAGGACAGGAACACTTGTCTTTGAACTCCAAGTCCTTTGCTATTTCTACAACTGCTTCTTTCACCTATAAATTGAATAAACAGTTATATAATATCCTTGTTAGGCATTAGGACTATAAAGGTGAATAAGGTCTCTGCCTTCAAATACTCACATGAGAAAAGTCATGCCTTAGGGCAAATAACAATACATTGCATAGCTCTGCATATTCTAAAATTTGATTTCATTTTATAATTAACAAAACTGTTCTTAGCTCTGAAAGTCAAAGAAACATGAAGAAATGTCTTCTTGAAAGTCTACTGACATAACATTCAAGTAGTTCCGATGTCCTACGATCTTTTCTTCCATACTTTATATTTTGCTTCCCCTTTTTTTCCCTCCTATTTTACTATTTCTGTCATTTCTATAACTCTTCCTTCCACATGGGATCTTCTCTTGGATTTTAAACTTCTTACTTTTTTCTCAATATAACTAATGACCTTGCCACTAATCCAGAAATAAAAATAGATTAAAGTAATGGAATCAAGAAAAGAACAGACTGGAGGGAGGGAAGCCAAAGGAAATTAAAAGAAAGAAGAAAGCAGGAAATAGGAATGATAAGATCTAGGTGGGAAACAGCAGACAATCATTATGTTTCATGGAGGCAGACAGATGATAAACATCAAAGACAATACAGTACTAACAGTAACAACTATATAATTTTTAAAAATAAAAATATATTTACACCCAGCGTGGTGGCTCAAGCCTGTAATTCCAGCACTTTGGAGGCAAGAGGACTGCCTGAGTCCAGGGGTTCAAGACTAGCCTGGGCAACTTGACGAGATGTCATCTCTATAATTAAAAAAAAAAAAAAAAAAAGCTGGGCATGGAGGAGCATGCCGGTAGGTTCAGCTACTTGAAAGGCTGATGTTGAAGGATCGCCTGAGCCCAGTCGGTCAAGGCTGTGGTGGCTGTGAGTGTGCCATTGTACTCCAGCCTGGGTGACATAGTGAGACTCCGACTCAAAAAAAAAAAAAGCAAATTTAAATTAAAAGTAAAAGCAAGTTTCTCAAAGCACTGTAACATAATATTGATAGTCAAAAGACAGCCACCTGGAAAAATACTGGTAAAAAAATAATTTCTCATGGTTTTTAAGCTTTGTTACCTGTATGACATCAATTACTTCATCAAAGTTAGTTCCTGGAAGTTTCACCTCTCCTTCATCTACCTTCATAATTTCTGGAGCCTAAGAAAGTAATTTCAGAAAGTTTTTGTTGTTAATTTACATGCAATTTATCATATTTCTACCTATTGTATGTCTGTAATTACATGGCCCTGAATTTTTTAATATCCCATTGAGAATTGATTTAATTAGTAAATGAAATCCAAGGTAGTCCCCAAGCCATTAGCTTGCCATTTCAATAGCTATAAAAAATTAAATAACAATTTTTCTGTTAAGGACTTCATCAATATTGAAACTTAACTGATCAACAGGTTGATATAATTGTAATTTCTCTCCTAGAATTAAGTATGCACATAAATGAACTCACAAAAAAAGATACAGAATGAAACAATTTAGAAAAATAAACAAAATAGTCACTTTACAAATTTAAACACTAGTCCTCACTATATAAAACCTAGTCACTGAAAATCACAATAGCCTCTTACTGAGAACAGAATGATAAACAGTCCAAAAATGAATTATTTGCTATATAAGTTTCAACAAACTTCTAGTGAAAAGAATTACTCATAAAAAAATTAAATTAGGCACAAATGCCATTTAGGGTCAGTTCTGTTTCATTGTTTGTGATCATGAGAGAATGTTGATTCTTTAAAACTGTACCCTCAGTGACCAAATCTGCTTGCAACAGATGAAACCTGGAGTAAGTTACAGTGCTATTTTGCTGTGTAGTAAAGCCATAACTGCATTATTCAGAAGTAAATAAATACCAGGAAAAATGCATATTTTGCATTATGTCAAGAGTATAATGATAAAGTAACCCAAAATATGATCTCCAATTATCACTATAAAATTAACATTCATAAAATCTATAATACCCATGCAAATCAAAAATTCTTCACCAAAGAGACAGCAACTCTTTCTTCATGTATGACAGTTTCACAACTTAAGTTACCAAAAAGTTACACTAAGGATTATCACTTTCTGAATATTTTATAAATGTAAGAGTTGATAACAAACTCTCACATTCATAAACAATTTGAAATTCATTTTTAAACTTTTTCTCAAAATCTGAATTATTAAAATAAATTATGATTATGATAGAAGGCTTTGAATGGAATAACACAGTTAACATCTATAGTCACACATTACTCAAAAATTTTAAGATTAAATTTTGAAATATACCTGTATCCAGGTTTGCAGAGGAGGAAGACATGCTTCTTTGGGACTGAGCAGGGGTGAACCCACATCAGCACTACCATTTGAAATGCTATCAATATCTACACTGGGTAATACCTAAAACAGAACACAGCATTCAGCTTTTCATTTATCATTTTGTCTCAAAAGTGTGTGTATGTATGTGTAAAACAAAACATGCCTTTGAAGTTTTTATTATGAAGTCAATGGATAACAAAATTTTTAAATTATTAAAGCATATTTTACAAATATAGAAAATAAAGAAGAAAACATACAAAAATCCTACTATCTTAAGGTAATTTCATTCTCATTATTCTTTTCGTCTTTTACTGCTCACTTATGCATAGCTAAATTTTAAAACAGTTTTCCTTCTTGATTTTTCATTGTTATTACAATGAAGTGTAAACAATTTATAATGTTTCTGTATTGACCTCATAATTATATTTTTAAATGACTATACAATATTTCAAAAAATATACCTTATTTAATTATATTCCTATTATTAAACATTTCCCAATTTTCTAATTTTCCACTGTTAAATATATATGTATATATACACAGTACAAAAACTTTTCATATATACAAGGGTTTACTTACTAAAGTTTATTTCATTATGCTAGATTAACTTCCTAGCAAAACATGGTGGCTCACGTCTATAATCCCAGCACTTTGAGAGGCAGAGGCGAGAGGACTGCCTGAGCCTGGGGGTTCAAGACCAGTTTAGGCAACTTGGCAAGACCTCGTCTCTATAATAAATCAAAAAATTAGCCGAGTGTGGAAGCACACGCCTGTAGTTCCAGCTACTTGGAAGATTGAGGCAGAAGGTTCACCTGAGCCCAGCAGGTCGAGAGTCCAGTAGTGGTAAGCATGCCACTACACTCTAGCCTGGGAGACAGAGTGAGACTCCAACTCAAAAAAAAAAAAAAAAAAATTAACTTCTTGGGCCACAGGGCATGAATATTTCAGATTCTTGGTAATTACAGGCAAAATACAATCCAAACAACCTCTATTTGTATCACCAAAAACATAATTAATTCTAAGTTATACACAACCCTCATCCAAATTACATAATATTGTTTCATTAATAGCAGTGTTTAAATGGAGACATATGATTGTTATTTCAATGTGCATTGTCTTGGTTACTAGCAAAATTTAAATGACTCAATTTGCTTGCTGATAAACTGTATTTCCTCTTTTGGAGAGTCTTTTTCATGCCCTTAGGATATTTCTGGATTTGGACCTACATGTCTTTTTATTAATTTATGGAGATCTTTATATTTTAAAATGAATTCTTTACTAGCATCTTCCTTTCTATGTTCTCAGTATATGGTGTTTTCCTTTTTACTTAGGATCTTTTTCTCCCAATTTGGATTCCTTAAATTCTTCCATGAATTTAACAACATTCATTTATTCAACACACATTGACTGGGTCCATGCTTGATTCAAGGAGCTCTCCAGGATAACACATGCCCAGGTCTCCCAAACCTCCCACAGCTGCTGAACCTCTCTGGGTTAATAAGCCTGTACTGTCAGAAGGACACCCAAAGAGTGCTCCAAGTGAGGGATGTATTTGCTCATGCTAGTTCCCTGCCCTGGAAGAATGACGAGGAGTTGAAAGGTTCCACTCCAGATCAGGGCTTCATTGCACACATGTATCCATCAATCACAAGGCCAGGAATCTTCCTGAGACCGACTGACTCAGCCCCAACAACTCAGCTGTGAAAACACATTGTCAATTTTAGCTGCAGGGTGGAAGTCGCTCCATGAGAATAAAGTGTATGTCTAGCTACGCTGGTGATTGCTAAGTCTCTGGGAATCGCTTGGGCTGGCGGGTTGAGGCTGTCCTCTATGTGTAAATTTGCACAATACAAATGGATGGCTCAGGGAGCAGTATCCAGTCAAAAACCAGTACTGGGAGTCTGTAGGTGGCACCTGACAGCTCCAGGTTTATTGTCTCCTTAGTGGTCAGGACCCAAGAATGAGGCAAGTCTTCTGTTTCCCAGGGTGCACATTAACTTGCCCAAGAAAACTCATTTGTCCTGCTTCAAACATGAGTCCAATCCTTGAGAAGTCTAAGTACTAGAGTGTCCAGACTGTTTGTAAGTAAAAACGAACAGTGAGATGGACACAGTGGTTGGAATAAATCAACCAAAAAGTTTACCATAGTTGACGAACACTTTCCTACACATGCCTCCTGATTGGTCAATAATAAGCCACATGTAAACACTCATATTCACTTTTGCCCAGAACTAGTGAAGACTTCAACTTCTGCAGCTGGATCCCAGTCTACCAGGATAAATGTTTGAATGCAGAATGTCACTTTCCACTGGGCCTAACAGGGCCAGCATGATGAAAAGAATGGGGGCTGGGTTCACAGGTTATTTGACACTATGCAGTGTTTGCAAAGCTGAATTAATATGTAATCCACCTCTTTAAAGACTCTCAGAATCAAAGTCCTAGTATATTACCTAAGTTACATACATTTTACAAGAAAGACAAATAAATATAGAATAGCTAAATGATTTTAGCAAGGTCACATATAAGACAGGAAGAAAGTACAGATGGAAACTCAAGAGACATATGAATGAAAAACAGACCATTTCCTATTTATAGTCCTTTAGGTCAGAAACAGGCATGGCTTTACTTTTTCACTAGAACACGTATTGATTTCTCTTTAGTGTTCCCTGTGAAAGGCTGACATCTGAAGATGATTTGGGTAACAATTACCTGCCAAAAGATGACCTAAAATTGCCACCTCCTTGGTTAGCCTGTCCTGAGCAGTCATCCAGCAAAATGTTACTAAATTCCAGCCATGTCTATTCCCTCAAAACTCACAGACAGTGCTTGTTTTTCCATTTTCTGCATGATCTTGACCAATGCAAGAGTTTTAATAGATTCCTCCTTTATCAAAAAGAGCTCTTTGACGTGCACACATGAAACTATATCACGTCTTCTTTTAAAATGCAAATCAGACAGTTCATTTCTTAGCCAGCAGATGGCAGGAAAAGGACATGTCTCAGGGAGAGTAATATAATCTAGCAACTCCACCCTTGAACATTTATCCCAGGGAAATGAAAATGTCCATTCATGTAGAAGCTTTACAAGAATGTTCACAGCAGGTTTATTGGTAATAGCAAAACTAAAAGCTCGTTTTTCTCTTCTGCAGCCCTGGCTCTCAAGGGCGATTCTGCCTTCTTCACATTCTGATTCCTCTTTATACTCGCTACGTCTACCTTGGTTTCAGACACAACTGACTCTCATGTAGTTGACCCCAACATCCTCTGAGCTGGGATCCCTGCCTCCAAGTCTTCTCCCTTGTTAACCTATCTTCCATATCGTAAAAAGAAAGATCATTCTCTAACATCAGTTTGACCCTGTTACTTTCCAGCTTAGGATTGTTTTACATATGTAAGCTATAGGTTTTATAGATTCAAATATGTATTTTTCTATCATACATAAGTTTTCTTCTTTCATATCTAGACTTAGCTTCAGTTTTGATAAAAATTCTATACAATTATCTTCAATTTTTCAAGAATCCTATTTCCCACTGATTTATGAAGTCTCCATCACATTCTTTTCTCTCTCTCTCTTTTTTTTTTGAGTAGGACTCTCACTCTGCTTCCTAGGCTAGAGTGCAGTGGCACACTCACAGCCACTGCAGCCTCAACCTGCTGGGCTCAGGTGATCCTTCCAAATAGCTGGAACCACAGGCAAACACCACCTGGGCTCAGGTGATCCTTCCATCTCAGCCTCCCAAATAGCTGGAAGTACAGGCACACACTACCATGCCTGGCTAATTTTCTAATTTTTTGTAGAAACAAGGTCTGTCTGTGTTATCCAGGATGGAACTCCTAGGCTCAAGTGATCCTCCCATCTCAGTCTCTCAAAGTACTGGAATTATGGGTGTGAGTCACTGCATGTGGCTTGTTTTAGTGAAATTCTAATTTTAAAAAACTGACAGTAACTATGAGATTTTTTAAAAACTTGACCCTAGCCGGGCTCAGTGGCTCAGCCTGTAATCCCGCGCCTTTGGGAGGCTGAGGTGAGTGGATTGCCTGAGCCCGCGGGTTCGAGACCCGCCTGGGCAGCAAGACCTCATCTCTACAATAAATCAAAAAATCAGCCGGGCGTGGTAGCACATGCCTGTAATTCCGGCTACTTGGAAGGCTGAGGCGGAAGGATCGCCAGAGCCCAGCAGGCAAGGCTGCGGTGGCTGGGAGCGGCCGCTGCACTCGTCTGGGCGACTGAGCAAGACTCCAGCTCAAAAAAAAAAATATTTGACCTTTAAGATCAGTCTTTTATATGAAAAAACAAAGATTTAGAAAAGTTAGAGAATTTTGGTGCTGATCCAGTATAATAGAGTATTTCAGAAATAGCCTCAATTATTTGAAAAGACTGTAATGGGCCTGGTGCAGTGGCTCATGCCTGTAATGCCAGCACTTTGGAAGGCAGAGACTAGAGGATGGTCTGAGTCCAGGGGTTCAAGACCAGCCTAGACAACTTGGCAGTACCTTGTCTCTGTTTAAAAAACAGCTGGGCGTTTTTTAAACAGTTCCGGCTACTTGGAAGGCTGAGGCGGAAGGATCACCAGAGCCCAGCAGGTCGAGGCTGCGGTGGCCGGGAGCGGCCACTGCACTCCAGTCTGGGCGACAGAATGAGACTCCAACTCAGGGAAAAAAAAAAAGTTTTCTCTGCAAAAATTCAAGTATTCTCATATGTTTGTGCAACGTTTGTAGTATTAATTATATAAATCATACAAATTAATTTTTCTAATTAATAAAAATACACAGTTCAATTGTTCCCTTTAGAATATCATCAAGACACCTGGATATAAATCACTGGCCTAGAAGAGTAGCTTAAATCATACCAACAAGGATATAGACATCATACTAACATCACAGTTTTAAAGAATAAAGGAGCCATGATATAACCAAAGTTTCCATTAGGTAATGTAACAAATTTTAAGTACTAATGTTAACCCAAAGATTTTTTTTGTGTCCTTAAAATTCTCTACTCATGTGTCCCAGCATACCTGCACAGTAAGTTGAGGAGGATCCTTTTTCTCTGACTTCATTTCTACAACTGCTATGTTAGGTTTCTTTACTCCAGTTTCTGTTTTTTGAGATGATGGAGGAATAGATGTGGTCACTGTTATAGGGTGTGGCTTACTTACAATTACTCCCGTAGATGGCATGGAATCACTGTTACTTTGGGTTTGTCCTAAGAAGTTTAAGGGAGAAACATGTCAGCTAGTTCAGAAATAAAGAAAAAAAATCTAATACACCCTTGGATCTTTGTGGCTGTACTCTCATATAAGGGAAAGCACATATAAGGGAAACGACAGTCACCTCTCCCTCTATCATCACCACTGTCAACACACCCTTGAAGGCATGTTTGAACAGACAATAACTACCATGTTGACATGCCATTGACCTATAATATCAAAAATAAAAAGTTATGTTAAAAATTATTCATATTTAAATCATTCATCAAAATCAAGAACAGCAATAACACTGAAAGGAAAAAAAGAACTAATTAGATTTGAAGATCTGGTGTGAGAGCAAAAACAATCTGTTCAATTTTTAACATGATGACTCTGAGAGACTTCAAATAAGTAAATAAACAAATATGTGCTTAGAATATATAACCACACAACTTTTACTTATCAAAACCAAATTCAAAACTACATAAAACAGGTTGGGCACAGTGGCTCATGTCTGTAATCCCAGCACTTTGGGAGGCCAAGACAAGAGGATTGCTTGAGCCCAGGAGTTCAAGATCAGCCTAAGCAATGTAGTGAGACCTGGTCTCTACAAAAACAAATAAACAAACAAAAACTACCTAAAAGTACTTTAAAGTACTTACCCTAAGATATGACAATAATAACAAGCCAATCAAACTTCTTGTATTCTTAAATTATTATGAATGTCCATTACAGATCTAAGTTGTTTTTGTTTTTTTTTTGAGTCAGAGTCTCACTCTGCTGCCCAAGCTGGAGTGCAGTAGCACTGTGATCATGGCTCACTATAGCCTCAAACTCCTGGGCTCAGCCCATCCTTCTGCCTCAGCCCCCCAAGTAGCTAGAACTACAGGCATACACCATCACACCTGGCTAATTTTTTTTTTTTTTGTAAGACAAGGTCTCACTATGATACCCAGGCTAATCTCGAACTCCTGGGATCAAGTGACTCTCCTATCTCAGCCTCCCAAAGTGCTGGGATTACAGGCCCGAGCCACTGCATCTGGCATTTAAAACTATTTTATTTCATCTACAGTAGTATTCTATAAAATATCAAAAAAATGTTTCTTGTGAGTGAAACAACAGCAGGAACCTATCATTTCAGAAAATGCTATTACACAGCATAAGATACATTCTGAGGCCTTCCCTACAATTATAAACAAGGGGGGGGTAGGTAACTGTTGTATAAGTAACATTTTCTAAGTTCCACTACTATTGATACAAATTTAAAATTCACCCCACATATTTCGTTGGTTCTTACCTAAAAGAATTGCCATAGGAATTAGATGACCTTCCAGCGCACCTGAAAAAGTAGGCATTTCTCTGCTTGGGCTGAACAAATACTGCTGATCGCCATGAGGTAGTGTAGTAATGGAATGCTTCACTTTAGAATCCATTTTCATAGGTTTTGTTGCATAAATGTCAGTTTGTGTTCTTATTGACTTTACTTTAGTGCCTGCAATAATCATCAACAGCAGATATTTTAAAATATTGTTTGAATATTTACTACCCAGCCATCTAGAAATACTACAACTTTTCTTCACAGAAAAACCTCATTCTATATAATAATATCAAAACAGAAGTACTACCTAAACTAGCAGCTGGCAAACTTCTTAAATGGCCAGAGAGTAAATATTTTAGTCTTGTGGGCCATGTGATCTCAGTTGTAACTACTCAAACTCTGCTGTTGTGCATGAAAGCAGCCATGGACAATACATAAATGAATGAGCATGGCTAGGCTCAAATAAAACTTTATTTGCAAAAGCAGTTCACCTAGAGGCCATAGTTTGGCAGCTCCTAAACAGATATACAACTTGTACAGCTGTTAAGACAAAATAGATACAATGACTAGAAAAAATGTTGCATAAAGATTCTGAAAAACAGCCAGGCAAAGTGCCTCAAGCCTGTAATCCCAGCACTTTGGGAGGCAGAGGCGAGAGGATTGCCTGACTCCAGGGGTTCGAGAACAATCTGGGCAATTTAGTGAGACCTCATCTCTACAATAAATCAAAAAATTAACATGGTGGCACACGCCTATAGTTCCAGTTACTTGGGAGGCTGAGGTGGAAGCAGGTTAAGGCTGCAGTGGCCATGAGCGTGCCACTCCAGCCTGGGTGACAGAGTGAGATTCCAACTCAAAAAAAAAAAAAAGAAAAGATTCTGAAAAATACTCAAAATAGTATGGCTGAACTCATTAATTTTTTTCCATAGGAACCAAAAGTTAATGATCATTTTTTGGAATTGGGTTTTTTTAATCTTCTCATTATACATAACATAATTCTGAATTATCAGCCTTTATTATGAGTTATGTTATTGAGGTTATTGAAGTTATGAACAGATACTCTAATTCTGTATTTAATTAAACCTTACAGAAGTGAATATCATTATACAATAGTCCCTCTTTATCCATGGTTTTGCTTTCCCCAATCTCATTACCCATAAACAAAAATGGTTAGAAAATATTAAATGGAAAATTCCAGAAATAAACAATTCATATGTTTTAAATGGCATGCCATTCTAATTCTAAGCAGTGTGATGAAATCTTTTGTTGTCCCACTCCACTCTGCCCAGGATGTGTCACCCCTTTGTCCAGCATATCAACACAAAAACATAGTACAGTTAAGTACCAGTCACAGTTTCAGGCATCCACTGTGGGTCTTGGAACATATCCCCTATGGAGAAAGGGGACGACTGTACATTTTTTCTATTCCTATGAGGTAGATATATATAAATATTACATCCTAAATTGTTTTTTCTTTATTATAAAGATGTGGGGTATGATTCAGGCTTAGGTATACAAATGTTCATTATGCAGGTATCCTTGTTGAAGAGGTATGCTCCTCCCTCCCCTGGCAGTTTCCCTCAACTGCCAATCCCTTTCTTATAGTATTATGATAATTGTTCAAGGTCTGCTTATGAGTGAGACCATATAGTATTCTGTTCTTTGTTTCTGTGATAGATCACTGAGTATGATAGATTCTAAATCCATCCAAGTTGCTGTGAAGTCCATATGTTTGCTCTTCTTTACATTCTAAATTTTAAAAAATTAAAAATTTGAGTATATGTCTCTGGAAAAGAGTATATAAATTTCTATGGAACCCAAGAAAAGTGAAGAAAAGAAAAAAGTAAAAGTGCAAAGGAAAAGAGACTAAAATATTTCTAAATAATTTCCTGATATTACATTTTTAATTTTAACACATGGGTGTGTTTACGCTCTTAGACTTTTAAATATAGCTTCCTTTTATTTATATTCCCAGGAAGAAAAATTTTAGTGCCATATTCATATTTTCTCATCTTGTTCTCTGGCAGTCATTCATTCTATTGAATGGATATTTTTCTTGCATGTTTACTCAAAATATATGTGTTTAGCATTTAATATGTATTAGGCGTTATTCTAGACACAAGGAATATAAAAGTGAATAAACCAACTGCACTCATGGAGCTTATCGTCAAGTAAGGATAAAGAAACAAATAAATAATAAAGTAAACAAACAATACCAGGTAGTAATAAGTGCTATGAAGAACAATAAGGCAGAGCAGGGTGATAGAGAGGGCAGGAGATAATTCTTTGAATGGAATGGTCGGGGTAGATTCCTCTGAGGAGTTAACACTTAAGACCAGAGATGGAAAGAGCCAGAGAGTGAGCTACGCACATGTCTGAAGGAAGGGTGCCCCAAACAGAGAACATAGCAAGTACCGAGGCCCTAGGATGACCATGAGGCCACAGGCTCTTGATCACTTCTACTATGAAAAAGGTTATTGTGGAAAGTCATTTTTTGATCTGAAAGTAGTTGCAAACCTCAGATTACTTTTGCAAAGGCTTTCAACACCCCAAATATAAGTTAACATCAAAGACCCAATAAATGAGAGGAAACAGGATAAATATTATTTATTAGGGTAAGCTATATGCTTCACTGAAATAATACCAGTAAAATTTCTATGTAACTTGACACTCTATATAATCAACCTAACTTTTAGAAAGGTAAGAAACTAAAACAACTGCAACAGCTCCAATTTCTAGAAAAGAAAATGGATTGGTATCTACTAGTTACCACATATTGTCAAGTAGTTTACTGACTGCTGAAGAAACTGAGAAGTTGAGGAACTTCAAAATATAATCAAAATCAACAGACTCCATATTTAACTAAGAGTTATATTTAAATATGCAGTACCAGTGAAACGGTAGATGTGAATCAAAATACACAATGATAAATAAGATGTTTTCAGTTGTGCACAAAAGCAACAAAGACGTTTTCTCTGAGAACAAACAAAATTGCCAAAGTGCCCATCAAAAATTTTTAAATAATAAACAGCAAAGAGCACATCTTTCTGTTAATAAGAACATGATGGACCAAGATCTTCAAGGAAATATCTACTTTCCCTAGATTATAATTTAGATTGTTCAAGATCTGTCATCTCCCTAAGAAAAACTGTATAATGCTTTATCTGAAGATACTACCTAATCCTACATTTCTTCCCACTTATCCTTATATTGTGCCTTGATCTTTAAGTTCTGGTCTATTTTGTCCTACCTCTCCTAGAAGGTATTATTTTTCCATCCCCAAGTATTATATAATCTGAACTTGTGTTTATAAATAATAAATAAAAAAGCAAACAAAAAACTTTACATATTAAACAGATAATATTAAAAAATGAGGTTAAACACTAAAAATGAGATTCCTTACCTTTAACTCGTTCTATTACTTTTGGTCTCTGTGGTTTGATGGATTTAGGAGATGGAGAATTAAATCTGAGATATGGTCCCTTTTTAAGAGTGCTGCGATGGCCCTGATAAACTGGTTTTCCATAAACTTGTAACATATAATCTTCATCTTTTATCACTGGGTTTGTTTTCAAAAGCCCCTATGTATACAAAGTTATTCAACTCACCATGAAAATAGTAATCAAACACTTATCTCATTTTCCAAACCCTCCTTTTGCTAACAAGTACTATAATAAGAATGACTAGCTCTAAAAAAAATCCTCTATTTTAAACAACCCTTAAATTCTGGATAGAGTTTGCAAATATGAGTTTTAAATGCATGAAAACATAAAAATCATCCACCTAAAAAACATGAAAGTTCTTACATTACTAAGTGTATTTTCAACACCAAAAAAGTAATATTTAAAAACATTTTAGGCTGGGCACAGTGGCTCACGCCTGTAAATCCCAACACTTTGAGAAGCCAAGGCCGGAGGATTGCTTTAGCCCAGGGGTTCAAAACTTGTCTGGGCAACACAAAGAAAAGGAAAAAAAAAACAAAGAAAAGGAAAAAAATACACTTTACATAATTATTATATTCATGTTTAATAAAAATACAATAACTGGGCAACCCTCTCAGGTTCCCTCTTGCTCTGGAAGCTTTTCTGTCCTCTCAATAAATCACACTTTAAAAAAAAAAAAAGAAATACATCAACCTTAGCCTTTAAATTACTTTATACATTACTAACTCCACCTTCAACCGTAATCTAAATGTCACAGAAAGGTTGTATTTATGAATATCTACTAAGTACCAAGCATTGAATTAGATGTTTTACAGATCTGCTCAACTCACTAGGCACTATACACACATTTGTTAAACTGAAAATTATCATACACATAAATACAAAGATGAAACACAATTTTGAGTACCATGAATTACAAAATCTAGTTTTGGAACTAGATGATCTCTTGATATCATATACCTGCTATAGCTATAATACTATGTTTCTAAGTGTGAGATCTCAGAATGCATTTCATGCAGTGTTTTTCACATTATAAATCCAAAACCCTAAATATCAACAATGTAAAGACAGCTTACATTTATATATTCCATATTTTAAAAACATCTTCATATTCCCTTCATTATGCTATCTTAAAGGAAATGATCAATCATGATGCAACATTTATCTAAAAAACTAGATTAGGATCTTACTTCTTTTCTCTCCTTCTGTAAACTTGAAGCAGGCATACTTCTCATAGGTGGATTTCTAAAATGTTCCTCTATTTGCTTTTGAGGATGCTTTCTTGGAATTACAGATTTGTTTATGGTTTTGTCTTGTGTATTGGTTTTAATATCTTTACCCAAATTCTGAGCTTTCTTGGTCCTTTGATATTTCTGGTCAAATTTCTTTTGTTCATAATCTTTTCTTGCCAGTTCATCCTTAATACAACCAAAGTTAAAATTACTTAAAATCTATCCAAATAGTAATGTCCTCACATCAGAAAGTATTAGAATTTTTTTTGCTGTTACAGAAATATAGTTTAGCAGTTTAAATGCTTTAAAACTAAAGAAAATTGGCTTCCATAAAAATAAAAATTACCTGGAAGAATTTTTTTAAAAGCTAAAAAAGACTAGTATCTTTTGGAGCAGGAAGAATGGGAAACAGTAGGAGTTCAGGGGTAAGAGAGCAATTTTTCATTACAAATGCTTTTATACTTTTTGATGTTTAAGCCACATAAATTTAGTGACAGGTTAAAATTAAATTTTAAAAAAGTTTTAGGAAGTCCAATTTTTAATAAAACTCTGAGATAAATATTTAATATTGAAAGTATCTGAAGGTTTAAACAAACATGTTTTACAAGGAGTTCACAGTAACAGTGACATATATTGCCAGCTGGCTGCAGAGCCAAGACTAGACTCCAAATCTTCTAACTCTTAGTTGAACATTTTGTTTCTGATGGATCATATAGTGGCTGGCATAACTCCTTCATAACTTCATTAGAGACATGTTCTTAAACAAGTTTAAAAATACATTTTTTTGTTTATTGCTGTGGAAACAGAACAGACACTTTACCTTACTACCAATATGAGTAGCATATGAGCACATCTTAGAGTCAGGGGGAAAAAAACTTTGCTTCCGAGATAAACTAACAGGCTATCCTGTCTAGTTCTGTTCCTTCAAATAAAACTTTAAGAATTTCCTTTAAATTACTGGTCCTAATAAAAATAACTCCCAGACTTTTGCAATGCTGATGTCAGTCTAAATACGTACCACGCCCTTTGTGGATATGAGAAAGAAGCTGTTTTTCCACCTGGAACTTAGTAACCTTGGAAATCTAGTGGGGTTTTTTTCCCCTTTAAATAATTTTTGGTATTTTTACTTTGGTGAGCATTTACAATGCTTCTAAATCTGCTGCCTTGAAACATCTTTGCAAGTATAATTCTATTTTTTTCTAAACGCTTTTGCAAAATTTTCTTTCAAATTACTCTTATTTTAATTACTGTCCAACAATTTGCCAAATAAAAGTCATAGCATAATTCATGAGATAAAGTGTTTGTTAAATAAAACTAACCTATTAATAAGTAAATACAAAGAGTGTCTGGCTGGGCATGGTGGCTCATGCCTGTAATTCCAGCACTTTGGGAGGCCAAGGTAAGATGATTCCTTGAGCCCAGGAGTTCAAGACCAGCCTGGGCAACATAAAGAGATCTTGTCTCTACAAAAAAAAAAAAATCAAAAAATTAGTCAAGCATGATAGTGTCTGCCTGTAGTCCCGGCTACTCAGGAGGCTGAGGTAGAAGGATCATCTAAGCCCAGGAGATTGAGGCTGTGTTGAGTCATGATGGTGCCACTGCACTTCAGCTGGGGTGGCAAAGCAAGAGACCCCAACACAAAGAAAAAAAAAAAAAGTATTATAAGTGACTTTTATAGAATAAAACTTTTATATAAGTAGGCTTTTATTCTGAGAATAAGTGTTATGCTTATAAACTGGAATCAATAATATCTTCCTGAGAATTCACATAATTTTCTGTTTTTTCCAAGACATACCTGAATTTCTGCAGAAATAGTTTTAATCCATTCATCTACTGTCTTTCTGATCCTATTCTTCTCAGACATTTCTCTATGAAAGAGAAAAAGGAGTTTTTTAAAATTAGCAACTAATTAGCAACAGTAGAACAGGACCTGGATCAGATCTAACACTTATGTAATTCTGAACCAACTATGTAGCCCGATAGCCTTCATCTGAAAAGAAAAAACCAATAGTATTAGTTCTAATCAAATGTTTGACAAGCACATGTGAACCCCAGACACATACCAAAAAAGAAAAATAATTAAAAGGAAAATTTCCATCAGTAAAAAGTAGTACCACCATGTATATATTTAAATTCCAACTTTATAATAAGTTCCACATCTTCAAAGGCATTTTAAAAAAACCTTTTCTAAATATTAAAACACTTTAAACAAAATGAAGTGCTCAGAAAAAAATTAAGAAGTTGTAGTGGCAGCTTCATAAATGACCATGGGATGCCAGTCTCCTGTCTTACCTGTTGGTGGATAGAGCATTGATAAATGAATACATGGCAGCCCCATCTTTTGCACGAATAATAGCTTCCAGGTTCTCTTCAAGTACTTTTTTATTGTTTTGTACTCCTCTCAGAATCTTCTCAGCATCTTTCAGTACAGATCTTGTTGCACTGGTTGTTTGAAGCTTAACAGAATTCTGTGGAAGGTCAGCAAGCCTCAACAAATTCAGAGATTCTTTTGGCTTAAAAGAAAAAAAGGCAGAAAAAAATTATTAAGTAAAATTCACATTGATTGTTTTAATCCAAACAAGAGTTATTACTCTTGTTGGAGCCATATACTATATCAATATATTCTAAGAACTCAATTTGTCAAACTGAAGAATAACAAATGCTTGGCAATTAAGGGTTTTTTTTTCCCATTTAGAAATACTAATGTGAGTGTTAAATAAAACAGGGGTGGAAGATTCACAGCTGTGCCGGACTGTTCAGTGACCAACAAAAGCTCTAGCTGCTCAAGAAAGCTCAAATCTATTTGAGCAAGTTGGCAGCCTGGTGTGGTGGTTCACACCTGTAATCCCAGCACTTTGGGAGGCGGAGGCAAGAGGAATGCCTGAGCCCAAGGGTTTGAGACCAGCCTGAGCAACTTGGTTAGACCTCATCTTCACAATATTTTTTTAAAAGTTAGCCTGAAGTGGTGATACACACTTGTGGTCCCAGCTACTTGGAAGGCTGAGGCGAAGGATCACCTGAGACCAGCAGGTCACAGCTACAGTAGCCATGAGTGTGCTACTGCACTCCAGCCTGGGCAACAGAGTGACACTCCAACTCCAAAAAAAAAAAAGAGTAAGCTGGTTCTAGGTATGTACAGCAGACATTATTGATTGGATCAACGAGGGCCATTCACACGTCTCTTCCCCCCTTCCTTCCTCTCCAACAGCAGCTGGAAAGCCAGAGATAACCATATGGCACAGTCCTGGCCAAGGAGTAATAAATAGAAATCATCTGGTGAGGGCTCTGGGAAAATTCTGTAAGCAGAACAGACTTGGCTGACATGTCCCCCCTTTTTTTTAAGAGATAGGGTCTTACTCTGACATCCAGGCGGGAGGGCAGTGGTGCAATCACAGCTCACTGGGTTCAAGTAATCCACCTCAGCCTCTCAAGTAGCTAAAGCTAAAGGCACGCACCACCCTACCCAGCTTATTTATTTTTCATTTTTGTAGACACAGTGTTTGGTTATGTAGCCAGACCCTGCTATGTTGCCCAGGTTGGTCTCAAACTCCTGCTCTCAAGAGATTCTCCCACCTAAGCCTCCCTAAATGCTGGAATTACAGGTGTGAGCCACCACACCCAGCTGGCTGGCATGTCTTTTTCAGTGTTTTAACTTCATCCTTTCTCCTAATTTCTATCATCATAACTTTTTCATTCCTTTATAATCTTCACCCTTACTAATCGCCAATTTTAACATCATTCCCACTTTACCTGATCAGTGTCATTTGTTTCTTTCTTCTTTTGGCCAAGATCATGAAGAACATCATTAGACTTCTGCATAGTCACTTTAGCTGCTCCTAGCTCTTCATAGGCAGGAAATCTTTGAGAAGGTAGATTTTCAATGCTACAGAAGATTAGGAAAAATATTTCCTAAATTGTCATAAATACAGTAATCATTTGATTACACAAATCTTTGATATAGTCTTCGTTTTTAGATTATTTAATGGTATCCTATAAAAATGGTACCATGAAATTAACCAGTTTTGTGATAAACATGTGAAACACAGATAATCACAAGAGATAAAATTATTCTCACCAAAACAATTTAGGCATAGCAAGAAAAAAACAGAAAAAGCTTTTGCTTTTTTTTTTTTGAGTTGGAGTCTCACTCTGTCACCCAGACTGGAGTGTAGTGGCTGCTCCCGGCCACCGCAGTCTCGACCTGCTGGACTCCAGTGATCCTTCCGCCTCAGCCTTCTGAGTAGCCGGAATTACAGGCACGTGCTACCATGCCTGGCTAATTTTTGATTTATTGTAGAGATGAGGTCTCGCCAAGTTGCCCATGCGGGTCTTGAACCCACGGGCTCAGGCAATCCACTCACCTCAGCCTCCCAAAGGCGCAGGATTACAGGCTGAGCCACCGAGCCCGGCTCAGCTTTCGCTTTTAAGAAGCCAACATTCAGAAGCACTTCCAGATTCGTAGAGTAAGAATCTCTGAAAATCAGCTTCTCCATAAAAGCAATGAGAACACTAGCAATAATTATCAAAATTCATTTTTTTAGAACCCTGGAAATTAAAGAAAGGCTTGCAACAACCCAAGGAATATTTATTTATTTATTTTAAAAGGCTGACTCCAAATAAGAACAGTACGCTTTATGGAATTTTTTTAAATTGCCCTATTATCAGAACCCTTTCCCCAACTCTTTGGTAGCTTGAAAACCAACAGCCTCAAAAAAGGAGTAGAATGGTTTAGAGCTTCTCCAAAAAGTCTCAGTCACAGAATTTGTCTGTATTTGATCTGACTCAGAACTAGGTCAGCAAGCAACCCTATCCCCAGGGCATTTTTCAAAAACAGTGGTAATTGTTTAACATCTCAGCTGCCAGAGGTAGTGATAGCTATTGAGGCAAACAAGACTGTAATCAATACATTTTTTAAGTCTTGGGAATGAGAGGTGCACAGTGGAGCTTTGAAAAGCTCTAACATATTCCTGGACATTTAAAAGGTCATGTGCATATGCAGGGCTATGTGCATACCCAGGAAAGATCTAACTGGAGGCATGACACACACACACACACACACACACACACACACACACACACACACACACACACACAGCCCTTTGGCAAAGACAGTGAGACTTTCCAGCTCAAAGCAATTAAGGAAATCTCTTTCCACTCATTAGAAGACTAAGCTAACAAAATAGAGACTTCAGTAGGTGCACATGACAAAGAATACAAACTTTACAGAATTAGTTCAGGAAAGTTTCTAAACCAGCAACAATAACAAAATCTGAAAAGGGGGAAGAAACTGATTTCCAGAATTGCTACACTGTATCCTTTAAAATGTCTAGTTTTCAACAAAAAATCAGGAGACACACAGAGAAACAGTAAAGTATAGTCCAAACACAGGAAAAAGCAGTCAATAGAAACTGGAGGAATTCCAGATATCAGACTTTCTAGGCAAAGACTATAAATCTACAGTTTAAATCTAAAGATTATTACTAAAGAAAATCAGTTCAAAGAATTAAAGAAAAGTTTAAGAATGAAGTCTTTCCAAATAGAGAATGATCAATAAAGAGATAGAAATTATTTTCAAAAAATTGAAATTTTGGAGTTGAAAAATATAACAACTGAAATGTATAATTCACAACAGAGATTCAACATCATATTTGAGTTGGCAAAAGAAAGAATCAGTGAACCAGATGATAGGTTAATTGAGATTATCCAGTTTGAGAAATGGAAAGAAAAGGGAATAAAGAAAAATCAACAGAGCATTAGTGACCTGTGGGACACCATCAAACATTCCAATATAGAAATTTTCATTAAAAACCATAAACTTGGCTAGGTGTGGTAGCTCAAGCCTATAATCCCAGCACTTCAGAAGGCTGAGGTGGGAGAATCATTTGAGATACGAGTTAGAGACCAGCCTGGGCAACACATTGAGACCACTATCTCCAAAATGAAAGAAAAAGAATAATAATTAAGAAAACATAGAGTCCAAGAAGGCAGTGAGATGACATATTCCAAGTGCTGAAAGAAAAAGAATGTCAACCAAAACTTCTACATCTAGCAAAACTATCCTTCAAATGTGAAGGAGACCAGCCTGGGCAACAAAGCAAGAACCTGTCTCCACAAAAAGTAAAAATCTGCCAGGTACAATGGCAAGTACCTACAGTCCTACCTATTTGGGAGTCTGAGGCAGGAGAATCACTTGAGGCCAGGAGTTTGAGGATACATGATCATACTACTAACTTGGATGACAGAGCAAGACCCTGTCTCTAAAAAAAAAATAATAAATTTTAAATGGTGAAGAAGAGGACACCAGGGGTGCACATGCACAGAAAGATGACCATGTGAAGAGACATCAAGGGGAAGACCATCCACAAGCCAAAGAGATAGGCCTCAAAAGAAACACCTGCCAGCACCTTGATCTTTGACTTCCAGCCTCCACAACCATGAGAAAATAAATTGCTTTTTAAACAAAAAAAAAAAAAAGAAAGTGGAGGAAGAAGAGGAGAAGGATAAATTAAGACATTCCCAGGTAAGCAAAAACTGAGAGATTCACTGCTACCAAAACTACCTTACTAGAAATACTAAAAGGAGTCCTTCAAGGTGGAATAAAAGACTCTAACTTGGATCCATATGAGTAAAGGGTAAAGATAAAAGGTAACTATAAAAGACAGTACATGTATTTTTGTTTGTATCTCTTTTCTTCTATCTGATTTAAAAAACAGCTTCATGAAGTAATAATTATAAAGCTATATAGATGGGCATATAACGTGTAAAGATAAAATTTGTATGACAATATAGTAAAAAGAAAGGAAAAAGAAACTGAACTTTATTGGAGCAACATTTGAATACTACAGAAATCAAAACAGCATTAATCTAAACTAGACTTTAAAAATTAATAAGCAATTGTGATCCCTAGGGCAACCATTAAGAAAATAACTCAAAAAATACATAGCACCCGGGCTCGGTGGCTCAGCCTGTAATCCCGCGCCTTTGGGAGGCTGAGGTGAGTGGACTGCCTGAGCCTGCGGGTTCGAGACCTGCCTGGGCAGCGAGACCTCATCTCTACAATAAATCAAAAAATCAGCTGGGTGTGGTGGCGCATGCCTGTAATTCCGGCTATTTGGAAGGCTGAGGCGGAAGGATTGCCGGAGCCCAGCAGGTCGAGGCTGCGGTGGCCGGGAGTGGCCACTGCACTCCAGTCTGGGCGACAGAGTGAGACTCCAACCCAAAAAAAAAAAAATACATAGCAAAGGACACAATAAAGGAATTAAAATAGTACAACTAGAAGACATCTAATAGAAAAATAGGGACTAATGCAGGAAAAGTGAAATAAAAATACCTAAGATCTACAGATAACATATAGCAACATGGCAGACATAAATCCTACCTTACTAGTAATTACATTAAATGTAAATGGATTCAAATTGTACAATGTCTCCACATAAAATTACTCAAAATGTGACTCTTGTTTTTTATTAGTATAGCTCTCATGGTGTTGAAGATAAATATAATGATCATGGTCCAGATTTATTTGACTTTTTAAAAACTTTTTATTATGTAAAATGTCAAACATACAGAAAAGGAGAGAATACTATAATGAACCTCCATATACCCATTATTTAATCACAATAATCATCAGCTCATGGCTATCCTCATTTTATGTATACTCCCAAACTAGTTCCCCTACCCTACATCATTTTTTAAGCAAATTCCAGATATTATTTCAACAAAAATAAATAATCTGCATTCATCAGAAATTAATAATCTACATTTTTAAAAAAAGAGATACTCATTTCCAAACTATATTATTGAAAAAGGAAAAGATGTATTAGTATCAAAAACTAGCTACTAAATCTAAGATAAATTTTAAAAGCAGTGCTATAATTTATTAAAATTCTTAAAGAAATCTGAGAAATCTGAAAAAGCTCTTTTCAATCTAGTTCTCATTCCAATTTCTTGTTTTTACCTGTTTCTTTTCTCAGGATTCCATCCTATTTTTGACCTAGTTAGTGAGGAATTGTCTGATGATTCCATTGTTCTTGTCAAAGAATCATTGTTATCCAAAATTTGTTCCAACAGTCTAACATTTCCTATAATAAAAAATATAATATCATTTTCTAAATACCAATTCATATAATATCTCACATATATTTGTACTATGTCCTAAATTAGCTTCCTATAATGATTATCAACTCAATTTACTTTACAATGTAGGCTGTAAATCACTAGGTTGTAAATACACTCCCCAAATAAATACTTATACCAGTAAACTATATGTCCATGTAACAAACATGCACTTGTACCCCTTGAACATAATTAAAGAAAAAAACTCTAAATATTTATACCTCATAAAAACTATACTGGTAAAAGTTGGAATTATATAGGTAAAAGACTACATTTATTTCCACCATAGAAAAAAGGAATTTGTATAAGTGTTGTCATCACAAAGGCCAGCAAAATAGACTATTTATGTATTAGTAAAGAAGAGCGTCATCTATCTTCATAGCAACAATTAATTAGATCTTTATTTTAGCCTTGTTTTTAGTGAGACTATATACTAACGTTTTGTGTGTGAGATTAATTTCTTTATTAAAAATTTTAATATCTTCTAAATTCCTTAAAACTCTTTAAACATCCCTAAGTCAAGACTTGAATGCACTTAGATGATTCTATTACTTTTACTAGCAAGGGTACATTTTAAGGCTCTTTAATACGCTATTATTTCATATCACTTATAAAAGGTTGTGTTCTCTGTTAACCCTTTGTACCCAGATACCCCCTCTGAGGTGACATCATAAATCTAGCAAACCATTCAGATGTCCCCTCTCAAAGGACATAAAGAGATTGCTGGTAATTATACACGACAAACTTATACCAGCATAAATTTTTCAAAAATGTATGTTTCTGAAAGTTTTCCATTCAAACTGCATGAAAAAGCAAATAAAGAGATGAAATATATACTGAGATATACATTTTTTAAAAATCAGCTAATGTTACTCAGAAAGGGAATGTGTGAAATGCTTTCACAGCGGTGTACAGACTGGACAACAAATTACGTATTATTAATGTGGGAGGAAGAAAACGAGACTGCATTGTGTGCTCAAATAGACAAACATCAGGTGGAAGATATCAAACAAATTACTACTGCCCAACATGTATTGATGAACCTGCAATGCATGTTGGTGACTGTCTGATACATTTACACATTAGAAAAATATAAGACACAAAATTTTGATTTTTTTGTCATAAACAAGTTCCTCAATGTCCAAAATTCCATTATAAGCCAAATATAATTACAATAAAATAACTGGTTCCAAGACTATACTATTTAACATGAAGTGATTCATTGTTTGCTGCTTCATAAAAAACTGTGGTTAAGTTGCTGGCAGGTGATTCATGAGATGCCTGAGTGCAAAGGGTTAAGAAATTCTTATATTAGCATTTTTTCCAACTGAACATGGTGATAAATATTAAATTTCTCTGAGTTTTATTATTGAAATTCACATCTAAAAACAATGTAAGAAAACATCCTCTAAAAATGCGCAGACCTACCTTAAGGAAAGCACTATTTTTTATTCATTAATATTGAAACTTGTTCATTAAAGGTTTAAGTAATAACCTGTTAGAGATAGTCAGAATAACTACAAAAGTATACCTCCAGTTCCTTTTACAAAGAATCTAAAGAAGCTTGACTTGTCCAGTAAGCAACATTTAAAGAAAAATATAAAAATAGAAATTCTATTTTAGTTACTAATAGGTACATAGAGAATTATAAGCCATGAGTGAGAAAATCTCACGACAATTTCCTAATTGAGATAGGTCTAGAAAAAAATGGGTACTAATTGTAAGTGTTTTATTACCTCTACGACCTGACATTTCCATATTTTCTTTTTCTTCCATAGGATTTTCCCTCTTTAACAGTTCATCACCCCTTGAAACAGGTATAGGAGCAAACCTGCGAGGTGCTGGTGTCTCCAAAGGAGATTTCTGTTTATCTTCAACCTCTCTTATAGGTGCTTTAACAGAAAATTTAAAAATAATTACTTTAACTTTTAATTGTGGCTATTACTCCTCCCTATACTTGAAATACAAATGAAAATGATAAAGGATACACAGATTAGCAACAAGTATATAGAAATAACTTTATCCTCACTAAAAATCAAAAGAAATGAAGACTATAAACATTTTACACTCACAAATAGTAAATAAGAATCAATATGGTAATTATTTAGTACTATTGAAGCTGTGATAAAAATGGCATAGCAGACACTCCTCATGTCTTCAAAAACTGATAAACCATTTGGCAATAAGTATAGGAAGTCTCAAAATTTTAATATACTTTGACCTAGTATCTTACTCTTGGGAACTTATCCAAAGGAAATAACATAAACAAAAGAAAATGTTAAATATATGATGATGTTCATTACAGTATAACTTACAAAGACAAAAACTAAAAACTTCCTAGGTGTCCAACAACAGACTATCCTTTAGTCATTACAAATTAAAATTCTGAAGATAACTACAAAAAAACCATGGCAAATGCTTCTGATACGCTAGTAAAGAAGCGGTACAAAATTATATTTATGCCACAATTACAACTATATGAAAAATGCCCGCCTGGGAAACTTGGCGAGACCTCATCTCTATAATACACCAAAAATTAGCCAGGGGTGGTAGCACGCGCCTGTAGTTCCAGCTACCTGGAAGGCTGAGGCGGAAGGATCGCTGGAGCACATCAGGTTGAGGCTGCGGTGGCTGGGAGCGGCCACTGCACTCCAGTCTGGGCGACAGAGTGAGACTCCAACTCGAAAAAAAAAAAAAAAAGATATGGCTGGGTGCAGTGGCTTATGCCTGTAATTCCAACATTTTAGGAGGCTGAGGCAAAAGATTACTTGAGTCCAGGAGTTAGAGGCCAGCTTGGGCAACACAGCAACACCTCATTTCTACAAAAAACAATCAAAAAATTAGCCAGGAGCATGAGGTAGAAGGATCTCCTGAGCCTAAAAGGTTGGGGCTGCAATGAGCTGTGATTGTGCCATTGCACTCCAGCCTGGGCAAAAGTGAGACTCCGACTCAGAGAAAGAAAGAAAAGGGGGGGAGGGGGAGAGAAAATGGGGTCCAGGCATGATCGCCCCCATCTGTAATTCCAGCACTTTGAGAGGCCAAGGTGGGCAGACTGCCTGAGCCCAGTTGTTCGAGACTAGCTGGGACAATATAGTGAGATCTCATGTCTACAAAAACAAAAAATATCAGCCAGGTGCAGGGGCACTCACCTGTAGTCTCAGCTACTCAGGATGCTGTGTTAGAATCACCTGAGCCCAGGAGGTAGAGGCTGCCATGAGCCATGATCGTTGTGATCATGCCACTGTACCCCAGACTGGGCAACAGAGTGAGACCTCTACTCAAAAAAAAATAAAAGAAAGAGAGAGAGAGAGAGAGAGAGAGAGAGAAAGAGAATTGCATATGCCCAAAAAAAGTAAAGAAAAATAAAAAGTATAACTGGTTGAATTTTAAATTTACTCATTTTTTTCTTCTATTTCTGTTATTGTTAGTGTAACTAATACAGTATAAATTTATTAATTGTATACTATACATTAGAATTCAGTATACAATTAATAAAACAGACATCTCTTTCGTTTAAAACTCAAGTCTTGGGCCAGGCTCAGTGGTCAGCCTGTAATCCTAGCACTTTGGGAGGCCAAGGCAAGTGGATTGCCTGAGTCCAAGGGTTCAAGACCAGCCCGGGCAACTTGGCAAGACCTTGTCTCTACAATAAAATAAAATAAAATAAAATAGCTGTGTGTGGCAGCACGCGCCTGTTGTTCCGGCTATTACCAGCTACTTGGAAGGCTGAGATGGAAGGATCACCAGAGCCCAGCAGGTTGACGCTGGGCTGGTCGTGAGTGTGCCACTGCATCCCAGCCTGGAGGATAGAGTGAGACTCCAACTCGAAAAAAAGAAAAAAAAAAAGAAAAAATTTTTTGAAAACTCAAGTCTTAAAAAAACCAAGAATTACGAGCAAGGATTAGGCTGATGCGTAAGCTCATAGCATTTGTGTTTGGCATGGCAACACTGTGGTGTTGAGAGTTTATCATTTGTCCTTTGTCATAACAATGTTGTGCTTGTGAACACACCCTGTGTTTCGCAGATTTGAAGAAAGTTAGAGCTATTTGTGGGCTAAAGAAGATGGACTGTCAAGTGGAAAAAAACGAACACTTCCAAAATATTCTTCTGTTTGAGTTTAACAGAGGACTAAAGGCAGAGGAAGCAGCTTGAAACATCTGTGCCATGTACAGGGAAAATGCTATTAGGCAAAACATAGTAAGAAAATGGTTTTGTCATTTCAAAGAGGGTCACTTTGATCTGAGTGACTCTTCACGTTCACAAAGACCATAAGATATTGATGAAGACAGTTTAAATGCTTTAATCCACGAAGATCCACGTCGATCAACCAGTCATCCAACATGCAATATTTGCACATAGGTAAGCAAAAAATACTACAAACTTATGCATCAACCCAGTAATTCTCTGGAAATCAGTATGGGAAAAAAGTGTCTACTTCTGTAGAAGGCTGGGTCATGCTGTAATCTGAGTTCTGGCTCCAACACTGACACTCTCCCCCGGAAGCCAGGTAACCTTGAGCAGGTGTCATAATCTTTCTGTGCTTCATTATCCTCTCTTCAGAACTTAAAAATTGACTCATACTACTTCACAACTATCTTGTAAGGATCACTCATTTGTTGCAAAACATAAAGCACCTTATACTTTTAAGGAATCTTTAATGACTATAATACGACTATGTTCTAACAAATCAAATGCTAAAAATACTGTACTATATAGGACAACCCCTTTGGTTACCCTCTCACTGTTGGAGCTTTTCTGTCCTCTCAATAAATCCTGCTTTCTCAAAAAAACAAAAACAAAGAAACATTGCACTATATAGACCTCTACATCATTAAAGGGATAGTCCTTTTATTTTCTTTGGTTCAAATATAGTTTAGAAACACATTCATTTATTTTAAATTCTAAAGGTTTAACAAATAAGCTATATATTTCTTTGTTATTATAAGTAAAATATTTTAAAATTCTATCAAGATAAACAGATTTGCATTACTAACTCTGAAAATATTTAGAAATCATTTATAATTGTGCTCAGATGGTTTCTCTACAGACAGAATCAAGAAAAATTGTAATAGGCAGTTTGTCAGAGAACTGAAAAATTAACTAATTATAAGCATTTTGACACTAGAGAACTAAAATTTCTTAAATTTCTGTTTATAAAAATTTATAATTTTCATAAAATTGTAAGTTTATAAAAATTTGTAATTTTTATAAATTTATAAATTCTGACAATTTGTGAAGTTATTAAAACCACAAATTAGGACATGATTCATAAGTTGAGCAAATCCCAAACTAACCTAAAAGTTGCTTGACCTAAAAAAAAGAACTAATTTTATAAAACAAAGACTCCTACTACTTAGTAAATGAGTTTTCAGCTTACATAGCACAAAGAAAATTCATAGCTGACATTTTTATTCATGGAGAACTATATATTTTTTACCTTGTTTGGAAGCAAACGTGTTATATGTAGATAGATTACTGCTACCAAGATTAGGATGTTCTGTTTTTACAGAATACTTTTCCACTGCTCTGGAAGAGGGCATACTAGCAGGCTGAAAACTACTAGTCTTGAGTGCAGCACTAATAAAATGAGTCTAGAAGACATAAATTATTTTATTATTTTCACTCATTTGTTGCAAAACATAAAGTACCTTATACTTTTAAGGAATCTTTAATGACTATAATATGACTATGTTCTAACAAATCACATGTTAAAAATATTGTACTATATAGGACAACCCCTTTGGGTACCCTCCCACTGATAAAAGACATTGAGTGGAGGGCTTAAAAATAATTTATTACATTTAATAAACAATGAAAACATATACATTACATCGTCACTATCCACTTAGTAGTAGCACAAAGACCTGATCAACCCTGACTCTGCTGTGTGACCTTAATCATTTTCCTTAGCCATTCTAAATCTCAGTGTCTTCCTTTCTACCTCAGAGATGGCTTAGGGGATACTACAGCAGGCAAAGGGAGCACCAGGAAGGAAGGACTCTAGCCCTAGACCTCTACTTCAACCAGAGAATTTACCACCAAAATATCTCACACCCTGTATATATCCTGCATGGTAAGATTTTGTTTGACGTAAACAAGGTTTGAGAATCATTGATAGTTAAAGGACTCGAATAAATAGTAGCCATGCTTACTAGCAGCAATAATATATGCATTTATATAATTGGGAACTATAGTCACAACACAGTTTTCAGCACTATTAAAATATCTAGAATGCACAAGTATCTTAACTAAAGAGATCTTAAAAGAGACCTAACATGAAACTTTCTTTTTAGAAAAGATTTATAGTTTTATAAAATCCCTCAAAGTGTGTCGAAATACCACTACATAAAACAGATGGAACACACTCAACTAATTTCATTTCATTAAGCATTTATTGAACAACTAGTATACCTGGTATGTCACGAAAACTTTAACTTTCTCTGTAATTATGACATCTAAAAGGCCAGGCGCGGTGGCTCAAGCCTGTAATCTCAGCATTTTGGGAGGCCAAGGTGAGAGGACTGCCTTAAACCATGGGTTCGAGAACAGCCTAGGCAACTTGGCAAGACCCATCTCTACAATAAATCAAAAAATTAGCCAGGCATGGTAGCGCACACCTGTAGTTCCAGCTACTTAGAAGGCTGAGGCGGAAGGATTGCCTGAGCCCAGCAGGTCAACGCTGAGGTGGCCATGAGCATGCCACTGCACTTCAGCCTGGGCAACACAGTAAGAACCTAACTAAAAAAAAAAAAGACATCTAAATTAGCAAAGATTCCATTCTTCCAAAATGAGAAAGTCAATAAATTATAGATTTAATTATGGAAGGATGGATAGATGGCAGATGGGTACTTAGAACTGAGTAGGATCCTCTCCTTAGGAAATAAATTTGCTTTTCAAATGTGTCGTCTCATTTAGTCTGAACAAAAAAATATTTTTTTCTAGGTAAAGAAATTGAGGCTCAAAGAATTAAAGTTATGCATAGAGTGGGAACTAGTACTCCGATAGATTCATTCCTGACCTCTCACTAGATAATTTGCTGCACACTCAACATTAGTCATGTATGCAGCGTTTACTAGAACTTTACCCTGTATTTCCAGTCATTGCAATAAAATATTATCTGCAATCACATGAAAAACTCAACACAAGCCCTCTTAAGAAATCATGAAAATCACAGCATATTAGTGTCTACTTTTTAATAATATACTGAACTATAATATACTTATTTTCATACATTCTTCTGTATATTATATTTTAATTTTTAAAAGTTTCAAATTGTACATTAATTAGAAAAAAAAGCAAATTAATACCAATGCATCTACAATTCTGGTCACTGACTCATTAAAAAAAAAAAGAGTATACTGAGTGCTGGGTAGTGTTACAGGACTTGGAAATTCCAAAATAAAGAAGAAAGCATACTATCAACTCCTTTTGATGGTAACTCTTTTTATGAAACACCAGTGCCTCATACTCAAGCACTAAAAAAATGTTCGTTCTTTTAACGATTAAATGCAAAAGCTAATATGTACACTGGGTAGTTCTCATCCCAGGGAGTTTTTACTGGTTCCCAGGCACCACCTCAGACCTGCTGGCTCAAAATTTCTGAGAAGCTCAAGCATGGGTATTTTGATAAAGCTTTCCAAGTCATTCTGAAGCACATTCCAAGGCTACGAACACTGATGTAAACAAATAATTTCACTGTGACAAAAAGCACTGTAAAAATGGTATGAAGAAAAATAATGCAAAAGATGGAAAAACAACCATAGAGAGCGGTCTCACAGAACTAGTGACATTTGAGCTAGAACATGCAGATTTCTCCGTATAGAAGCGAACAACGATGAACAAGCAAACCAAGATTTAAGAACTAAAATTGTTACAGACTAATGAGCTATGGCAATTAACAATGAATATTAGTTGAGAGATCCAAGTGATAAAAGATTACGGAATGTGTACTGGCTCTATTATAGATACCTGAATATCTATTTGTTGCTGCTGTAATTTTTCAAGATGCCTAATGTGCTGTTCCATAAATACATTCATTTGTTTTTCATGATCATGACAATGTAGTTTCTCTTGTTTATTCCGAATGTTTGTTTGCTGCTCTGTAACACGTTGCAAGTGTTTATCAGTCTCTTGTAATTTATTAAGTAATTCTGTAACAGAATTCACTTTTGCTTCCAAATCACTCTGTACCTGAAACAATAAAATTATCCAAATATTTCATATTATAGAAAGATACCAAAATCATGTTCAATTTCTAGAAAGGTTATTTAAAACAATTAGTATTAAGAAATGATCAGGCCAGGCACAGCGGCTCAAGCCTGTAATCCCAGCACTTAGGGAGGCCGAGGCGAGAGGATTGCCTGAGCCCGCAGGTTTGAGACTAGTCTGGGCAACATGGTGAGATCTCGTCTCTACAATAAATCGAAAATTAGCTGGGTATGGTAGTGGGTGCCTGTAGTTCCAGCTACTTGGAAGGCTGAGGCTGAAAAATCGCTGGAGCCCAGCAGGTCGATACTGGGATGGCCATGAGCGTGCCACTGCACTCCAGCCTGGGCGATAGAATAAGACTCCAACTCAAAAAAAGAAATGATCAAACTTGAGCTTTTACCCACTAAATATCTGATGACTTATTAAAGTCTTTATTTTTAGAGTCACAGAAACAAAAGATAGGAGAAGCTAGCCTTAGGTAAGCGTTTCCTCTCAAAAAAAAAAATTATATCAAATTTGTCAGAATTGTATAATGACAGAAACAACATATTTAAATGGAAATTTAAAAGAAAATGGAAAAGTAAAATAGTTTTTGATAATATGTTAATGTAAGGCTTAGGTAGGACAGAAGACTTGAGTTTTGAGCCTCTAGTTTTGGCTCTGCCATCAATTACTTCTAGAATCTTGTGCCTACTCTGACCAGTTTCTCTGTTTCCCCATTTACAAAGTAACAGCCTAGGCATAGATGACCTCTAGCTCAAATAAGGATGACCTATCAATCAAGTTGCCCAGGACCAAGATGTTTTCCAGGATGTGGAACTTTCAGTATGAAAATTGAAGAAGTTCTGGATTCACTAGTACTAGCACAGTATTAGGGAAATTTTTACAACTCTTGTGAAATAATACACCAACACAAACAGGAAAATTCTTACAAATTAAGAGCAAGTAAAATGTTCCTAGTCTACAGTTGGACACAACCATTTATAGAATCAGTTCTTAATAAATATTTCTATATTTCACAAAGTAGTTATGAGTATCCGGGGAAGAAAACATACTTTTATTAGTGGAGCTGCTGTAGCAATGGCAGCAGCAGTTGCTGCAGCCACAGTTGTGGCTGAATCAATTCCACTGGGTGAGGTTTTAGTCTCCTGAGTAACAACATCCTTTTCTGTGACTGCATCTTCTAAAAGATGTACCTTTACTTCCTTAAACACAGGCATGCTTTGAGCTCTATAAATTAAAAAAAAAAAAAATTCAGTAAGCTACATTGAACCATTTCAAGAAATACCTACAAGTGGTAACCTGCTGAAAGTGGTTTTGATATTTTTAAACTAAATCACCTATCAACCAAAGCCATTTGGTTAACAAAGTTTATTAAGGCTCAGGCCACTAAGGGCTAAAGAAATAAGAAGACAGTTCCTTGAAGACAGTGATATTATTTAGGAAAATGAGACTTACATACATGAAAAAGGCATGGCACAATTAGAAAGATACATTATCAAGAAGTACAAATTTAAAACATGCAAAAAAAAAAAGCTCTAAAAACTCAAGTACCAAGATTTACTCCCAAAGGCAGACAACTCAAGAGGGATTGTTGTTATTTTTATTTTTTATTTTAAGACTAGTAGAATGCAGTAGTGAGAAGGGGTAGAAGAGTAGAACAAGGAATTCAATCAGCAACTGACAGTGAACAATCAATTGCAATGACTCACTACCTTTGGATGAGCTGTTGTTTTTAAGTCAATGAGAAGTTATTCTCCAAATACTTTGTATAAAAATTATAACATTATTGATGTACACATCGTGACTACTATTTTTTTCTCCAGCTTTATTGAGGTATAATTGACAAAAGTTGTATATATTTATTGTGTAAGCATGATGCTTTGATATATGGATAATAATGAAATAATTACAATCAAGTTAATTAACATACCCATCACCTCACATAGTTACATTTTAGTGTGAGGAAGACTTTGAAGATCTACACTCTCAGTAATTTTCAAATATACAATTCATTATTATTAACCATAGTCACAATTCTATATATAGATCTCCAGACTGTATTCACCCCAACTGAAATTTCTCCCTTTGACCTACATCTCCTCATTCCTTCCCACCCCCAACCGCTGGCAGTCACCATTTTACTCTCTGCTTCTATGAGTGTGACTTCTTCAGATTCCACATATAAATGAGATTACATGATATTTGTCTTTCTGTGCTTTGCTTATTTCACTTAGCTAATGTCCCCAAGAGGAGTTAAAATTGCTAAAAGGGCCAGACATGGTGGCTCACGCTTGTAATCCCAGAACTTTGGGAGGTGGAGGCAAGAGGATTGCCTAAGTCCAGGGCTTCACGACCAGCCTGGGTAACTTGGCGAGACCTCGTCTCTACAATACATCAAAAAATTAGCCGGGTGTGGTGGTGCATGCCTGTAATTCCAGCTACTTGAAAGGCTGAAGCGGAAGGATCATGTGAGCCCAGCAGGTGGAGACTGCGGTGGCTGTGAGCGTGCCACCGTAGTCCAGGCTGGGTGACAGAGTGAGACTCCAACTACTACTACTAAAAGGAATGTTCTGAATTCTAGTTCATTTAGATTTAATTAATAAATGTCACCCCATTTATTAAAATGAGCACAAAGCACACTATTAAGAAGCCTAGATTTAAAAATGAGCACAGCAAGTAGATACATTACTATTAGCAATAAGACATCTAACTAAATACTTAAAAAAGAAAAAAAAGAAGACAGGCTCTATATTTGACCTCAAAGAAAACAATGAAAGGAACCACTGACAAAACTGAAGACTCTGTAGAAAGGGTTAAGTAAGGGCAACCTCTTCGGGTCCCCTCCCACTGTGGGAGCTTTTCTGTCCTCTCAATAAATCCTGTTTTATAAAAAAAAATTTTTTAAAGGTTAAGAAAAATTTACATAAATAGATCCCATCTCCAGCTGCTGGACTTGCCCTCTTAATTTTTAAAGGCAGCCCAGAACTCTTAAACTTACTTCTCTTTGATATTTCCCCATTGCTACTAAAAGCATCAGTTTTCACTCAGTCTCAAAATTTTGAAGTCACCTTGACTTCTCTAACTGCTTACCCTCTCATATCTGCTTACTTTCTCATACCCAATTGAGTCATCAAGTTTTGTCAACTATTTCATCACAATTGCATAAAGAGTGTCATAGAATTATAGATCAAAGGGAACCTCATACTCCATCTATCCTAATTTCACATAAGAAGAAATTGAGGTTCATGGAGGTAATGGGATTTACTTGATCACTGTCACAGACCTAGTAAGTGGCAGCATTATGGCCCAATTCCCAGGGATTTTCCCATCACACCAGTTTTCTCAGATTAGCACTTCTCCCTCTCTACCTTAAAACTTCATCCCCTCTCAGCAATTATTTCATTCTTTCCAGTTTTACTTGTTCAAAAACCTCCCACACATGTCTCGACCATTCAGTTATCTAAACCTGTTCCTTATAAACAATTGAATAGGATAATTTCCTATTTGTCTTTCCACACACTCTATACTCCTGCCCTGCCCCACCTTCCTACATACCTTCTGTTACTTGACAAAACAACCTCTCCAGAGTCACAAAGCTTTCCTCACTGACTACACATACCGTAACATGCAAACAGCTGACTCCATGCTTCCGTGCTTTTCCTCACTTCCACCCACTCACTAAATATATCTTTCTCCTTCTTTAAGATACAATATTGGCAGGGTACAGTGGCTCACACCTGTAATGCCAGCACTATGGGAGGCACAGGTGGAAAAATCGCTTGAAGCCAGGAGTTCAAGACCAGCCTGGGCAACATAGTGGTCTCTAAAAAAAAAATTTTTTTTTAAATTAACTGGGCATGGTGGTGCACACTTGTAGTCCCAGCTACTTGGGAGACTGAGGTGGGAGAACTGCTTGAGACCAGAAGTTTGAGGTTACAGTGAACTATCACTGCATCACTGTACTCCAGCCTGGGCATTCAAAAAAAAAAAATACAGCTCAAGTGTTAGCTTTTCCAATAAGCCTATCCTTATAAAACGTCTTGCTTTCTCCCTTACTAAATCCTTTTGTATTTACTGCCTATATCACATAATTGAGGCTTGATGATCAGTAATCTCAAGGTCTAAATGTCTATATAGAACAATTTAATTATATATTGAGTGCAATTTGTCATTCACTCCTCCAAATATGAACATATTTTCTCCCCAGTAAGCTGTAAGCAACCCAGGAAGAGGGGGAGACTGTCTTCATACCAAACAGCAACTAACATAGGGTTAGGTACATAGTAGGCACTCAATATATGGTTAACCAATTGAGTGGCATACTAAGAAAATATATTTCAGATATTCCTTATCTTTTAGAGTTCCTGTCTGAAGCCCGGAAGTGGCTTAACTTTGACCAACAAAAGAAAAAACATTATAAGGCTAGACATAAACTTCTTTAAGAATTTTAAATTTTATTTTTTCCAATTGTTAAATTAATCAAAGTTCAGTACAGCAAATGTAAAGAGCTACAAAATATACGTATTGGAAAAATGAATATAATCCTCCAGTTAAAAAGCAATTAACCAAGGCAGGAAGATTGCTTAAGCCTAGGAGTTCAAGACCAGCCTAAGCAACATAGCAAGACCTCATCTCTACAAAAAATTAACCAGGTGTGATGGTGTGTCAGGTGTGGTAGCTCCAGCTACTCAGGAGGCTTCGGTGGATGTATCACTTGAGCCCAGGAGGTCAAGGTTGCAGTGAGCCATGATGGTGCCATTGCACTCCAGCCAGGGGACAGAGTAAAACCCTGACTTCAAAAAAAAAAGAAGCAATTACTGCTTTCTAGTCTTTTTTGGAAAAAAATATTTTCATTCCTAAATCTTCCAAATATCCCAATACTGTGCTGTAGCTGTCTCACCAAGGCCACTAATAATCCTTGTTCATTCAGTATAGGTTCCAGTCTACCTCCGAGTAGCACAGCACACTTGGAACCTAATTCTTGTTGGCCTTGTTAACACCATATTCCCCCCATCTCTGTCCAAACTTTCTGAATAGTGTTTAGAAGTTAGCTTGCTTGCTTGGTATATACCCTAAATGGTTGGTTTTCTCAAATCCAGCCCTATGCCATCTTTCTTCTTACTCTAACACCCTCACTGAAAACTTTCATAATTCCCAGAGCTTATACTACCATCTACTTCTGGTCATCAAATATTTCTTATTCAGTTATTATTCTCTACATTGCAATTACCTTCTCATAGGCCCTTCATAGTCGTTTTTTAAATTCTGTTCATTTATCCTTAACGGTGAGAGATCTGTCAACAGATTAAAAGGTAGTGTCCACAATTACCTCTCACTTTTCACTTTATTAACAACTTCTCCCTCTCAGAGCTGAGAGATTTCAGTTCAGAGAGCTATGACTGGAAGTCAAGCTGATAAAGTCCCTATTGTGGCTGCAAGTAGCCACTTCATCTACGGGCATTCAGCTGGATGGAAGTGGTAATAATCACTTTCTATCCAACTGAGTCAGATGTAATCTGCCATTTTCAGTTCAAATATCAAAAACTACACCACCCCTCATACACTTTTTATTTTTCTTACATATCTGCAAATCCTAGGATATAATTTACCATCCAACTGCCTCTCCTAACCACTATATTACACAGTAGGAATTGTAGGCTGAACAAATGCAAAAAGAAATACCCTAAGGGGACCAAAGATCCAGCTGTGAAACTCTGGTTGGCTCAGATCATACTTTTGTGATTTAGGGGTAATGTTTATTTTTTGTCATTCAGTGCTTCCCAGAGCATAATATGTATACCTACCATGGATAACTGTAGATGGGAAAAGAATAAATTTATTTTAATAGTTGTACATTTACTTTAATTGTATATAAAAACACTGATTTTCCATTTATAGATGTAATATAAAAATTTCTTTTGACTAAAACAAGAATTCAAAAGTAAATGAAAATTTATACTATTTTCTAAGGGGTATTCCTCATGGCTGTGGTTTCAGGAGAACACATTTAGCCTAAGAATGTGATCTCAGACTATCCCCACTGATGATAAAGATAATAAATATTGCTTTCAGACTAGTGGATGTAATCTTTTCTGGCTGCTTTTTTTTTTTTTTCCTGTGGGTGTAATTTTATTTCACGATTATCATGTGCTGTTATCAGGGTTGATTTTGTATGTCATTGGTATTTAAGGTAAAGTTGGGAGGGGGAATTTAGGTGAAGTAAACCATAGTCTCTCTTCACTCCATCAAGTTGCTAAGCTCGTCTCTCTCTCTCAGATTTTGACCAGAAAAAGTCTAAATGTCCTTTGAAGGTAAATAATAAGTATTATAAGAGGAACTACTTGACCAATGCTACAAGTAGTAGAATGAAGTGGTTAAGAGAGCTGGCTCTAAAGGCAGCCTGCCTGGGATTGGATTCCAGCCAAGTAACAACTTGCTAAATAACCTTGGAAAAATCAATCTCTCAATGCCTTGGATTTCTCATCTATAAAATGGGGATTCTATAAAATTGGGATGCTAATGAAATCTGTTTCATAAGAGTGTGTGTTACATGAGTTAATGTACTACAATACTTCTATAATAATAATTGCTAACAACTACTGAGTACTTTATATGGGTCTACACCATGAGAAATGCTTTCATACATATCATCATAAAATACATATTCCACATAGTGGAAATTTTTTAATATATCCAAAGTATAAATGAAACTTATTTTAGACACAATAAGTGGTATAACTATTTTCTGTGAATAGAACTTACTTTTGCTTTAAAACTGTTCTTATGGCATCTTTCTGTCCCATTGTGTACTGAGAAATAAGGATGTCATTTGCTGCAAAATCAAGACACAAAAGTATACTTTATTCCTAAATATTTATTAAATGTTAATAAGCTACTCAAAAAAAAAAATCTTTTTTTTCTTTTGGCAAGTAAGCAGGAATTTATTCAGAAGACAGGAAAACTCACAGCAACGGAAGAAGCCCAGAAAGAGCTCGAAACCACCTTTCTTTAACTAAAAGAATGTTTAAGATTTCAGTCATAGGATTTCTCAAATTTTTTTTTTTTTTTTGAGCAAATATAAGGATTTCTCAATTTTAAAAAGGCAGGAAACAAATTAAGTGACTAAGTAATAATATAATCCTAGACCCTAGGAAAAACAAACTGCATTTAAAAAAAAACAAAAACAAACTCTGAGGCCAAATTGGAAACATCTGGTCAAACTCTAAAGAGAAAATCACTTAGAGTAAAATTAAACCAACCGCTTTATAATTTGTTATTAGATAAAATTTTCCAAATTTTTAATCTATTATCTTACCAAAGACCATTTAAAATTTTAATTCAGAATTTATTTACTTATTTTTGAGTCGAGGTCTCATTCTGTCATCCAGGCTGGAGTACAGCAGCATGATCATGATGATCAAGGCTCACAGCAACCTCCACCTCCTGCACTCAGGTGATCCCTCCACCTCAGCATCCTGAGTAGCTGGGAACTATAGGCACGCACTACCACACCCAGTTAATATTTTTTAATTTTTTTGTAGAGATGAGGTTTTGTCATGTTGCCCAAGCTAGTCTTGAACTCCTGGGCTTAAGCACTCTGCCAGTCTTTGCCTAAAGTGCTGGGATTACTATGCTCATATTTATTTTTTGAGTCAGGGTCTTACTCTGTTGTCCGAGCTGGAGTGCAGTGGCATGATCACGGATCACTGCAGCCTTGACCTCCAGGGCTCAAGTGATTTTTCTTCCTCAGCCTCCCACATAGCTGGGACTACAGGCACATGCTGCCACACTTGGCTTATTCTTTGATATTGTGTAGACGTGATGTCTTACTATTTTACAAGGCTGGCCTCAAACTCCTGGAATCAAGCAATCCTCCCACCTCGGCCTCTCAAAGTGCTGGGATTACAGGAATAAGCCACTGTGCCCAGCCAGAATTTATAAACACATATCTAATACGAAACCTGTGTAATTGACTGGTAATAATAAGATAACTTTTACCATTACAAACCTTTTTCTGGACTTCAGAGATTCTATTAATGGCTCAATTTGAGAGAAAAAACTAATTTTAAATGGTAATAATAAATACTATAAGACTATTTAATGAATGTCTAAAAAATCAACTCTATCCTAAAGAAGAAAATTCAGACACATGCCTACAACATGGATGAACCTTGAAGACATTATGGTAAGTGAAACAAGCCAGTCATAAAAGGTCAAAATCAGTATGATTCTACTTATATAAGGAGTAGTCAAATTCATACAGACAGAAAATAGGAATTTTAACTTCCAGTGGCTGAGGAAAGGGGAAACAAGGAGTTAGTGTTTAAGGGTACAGAATTCAATTGGAGGAGATGACAAAGTCCTAGATATGGATGGTGATAATAGTTGCACAACAATGTGAATGTCTCAGAATTGTACATTTTAAAATGTTAAAATGAGGCCAGGTCAGTTGGGCTCAGTGGCTCAACCTGTAATCCCAGCACTTTGGGAGGCCAAGGAAAGTGGATTGCCTAAGCCCGCGGGTTCGAGACCAGCGCGGGCAACCTGGCAAGACCTCATCTCTACAATAAATCAAAAAAATTAGCCGGGCACATAGCATGCACCTATAGTTCCAGCTACTTGGAAGGTTGAGGTGGGAGAATTGCCAGAGTCCAGCAGTTCGACACTTGGGTGGCTGTGAGCATGCCACTGCACTCCAACCTAGGCAACGGAGTGAGACTCCAACTCAAAAAAAAAAAAAAAATGAGGCCAGGTGCGGTGGGTCATGCCTGTAATCCCAGCACTTTGAGAGGCCAAGGCAGGAGGACTGCTTGAGCCCAAGAGTTTGAGGCCAGCCTGAGCAACATAGTGAAATCCTGTCTCTTCAAAAAGAAAAAAAAAAAAAACTAGCCTTTCGTGGTGTGCATGCCTGTACTCCCAGCTGCTCAGCCTCAGGCAGAAGAATTACTTGATCCCAGGAGGTCAAAGTTGTGATGACGCATGGTCATGGAGTGGATGGCACTCCAACCTGGGCAACAGAGTGAGACTCTGACACAATAAAAAATAAATAAAATATGTAAACATGGTAGAAAATATAAAATAAAATGGTTAAAATGGTAAAGTTTATGCTATGCGTATTTTAATCAAAAGAAAAAAATCAATTCTATTCTTTTACCTTTTTGCTTGTTGCTCTCTTCTGTTTTATCCAAAGAAAACCCTTGTACTACAGCATCTTTGGAAAAATCCTTTGGAATATGAAAGGAAAAAATAAGTTAAATAAATTTTGTGATTTATTTCTATCAAGTACCATTTACCAGCTATGTGGCCACTGTGTTCTAGGAGGGAAGTACTGTCTATTTTATATACCTCAATCCCAGAGTCACTCATTGTTTATGTACCCTGAAGCTACTCAAAGATTTGTTGAACAAATGAGTAATGCACCGTCAAACAAGAGAATATTCATTCTCTTGAATGAGTAAGTGAACCAGTAAGCAAATGTGAAACAGATTCAGATTCAAATCTGCTTTGCTACTTTTAGCAGAGCAAATCAATTAAAATCTCAGTTGCTTCAGTGAAATGTGAAAATATAATTTTGAGTCAAAAGGAGTAGGTAAGGATGGTCAATATAAGACACAACATCACAAAGATTACCCACTTATCCTCAATTATACAATAATAGCATATACATATATTTGAGAAATTATTTAGATAATGGACTATAACTAGTATTAATAAGGACCATGTCTCAAAAAGAAATAAAACATCAACAGCCCAAAGGCTAGGCATTTATTCAGGGACAAAGTGTAGCACATAATTACACATTTCATTAAGAGCTTTTGACAATTAAATAGTCTCAATTTAATTCTTAGACTACCAGCTTTAGTTTTCAAAATACTATATTGTGAACCTATCTTATTATACAGACTTATTAAATTGATAGTGCATAGGTAAATAGTGTGATTAGTCAGCAATGTCTAATTAAATCTCATAACCAGAATATATTTAACCAAATATTTACAGCATTATAACAAAAAAAATTAAGATGAGAATTTCATGTTGTTTTATTTTATTTCATTTTTTTGAGTCAGGTTCTCACTCTGTTCCCAAACTTCTAGGCTCAAGCAATCCTCCCACCTCAGCCTCTCGAGTAGTTGGGACTACAGGGGTGTACCACCGCTTCTGGATACTTTTTTTATTTTTGTATAGGCAAGGTCTCCCTATGTTGCCCAGGTTGGTCTTAAACTCCTGAACTCAAGTGATCTTTCTGCCTCAGCAGGCGTGAGGCACCATATCCAGCCTACATGTTATTATCTCTTAAAGAACCTCCTTCCCCAAAAAAGTAAAAGACTTCACAAAAGTTAGAATGATATTTAATCAGCCCTCACTTTTTAAAATTGTGTTGTTGTTTCTATTTCTTTGCCAAGATTATGTTAAACCTCAGACAAGAATACTTTTTTCCTAGATGGCAACAGAGTTTTTTCAGTTATATTTCTTTCAGTGGTCACTTACCTTACTAATGGGTATTTCTGATTCTAGGGAAGGCCATTTTTTTAACATCTCAAACACTTCAAGTCACAATTGTAGCTTATAAACATTTATTTTGGTAAGTTATATTTATATTAAAAACAAGGTATATTGCTAATCAAATATCATTTGAGAACACATCATTTGACAATACTGAAAATTTTAACATTAGCACAATTTAGGATCCTTTTGCTTACACTTTCTGACACAGCAGAATTTTCTAACGGAGGCTGGTGAAAATTTCTAGCAGAAGTTAAGTCTGATGAACCTAAACAGAAGAAAGGAATCAATTTTAGTGATTTTCAAAACCAGAACTTTACCTTTAGAAACTGTAAAGTTATGATTCAAGAACTATAAACTTCACATTAAGGCAGAAGTTGGACAGAATGTGCATGCAAAACAATTAAGAAAATATACTGAAATGTATCCAAATGATATATTTAAATATATCCAAATGAAGGTTTTTACAGTTGATGCCTGGGAAAATAAGGTTCGGTACTGGCAATAAAATAAGTATAAAATGTTGTAAAGTATACGGGACATTGTTGGATGTCAGCAAACTATAAGTAGCAATATGAATATGATGTAAAAGTCTTAATTTAACAACAGGCACTGCTGTACCCCCCAAAAAAGCAGCATTATAATAGCATTTTGTTGTTTTTGCTCACATATTCTTTAATTTGATCCTTACAATTACTACTGAAGTGGGTAAAGCATAAGTTATCTTTATTTTCACTGAGCTTTAAACAAGTTAAGTGAATTGGAATATGGAAGCCATGAGATAGCGGCAGTTGTGCTTTTCTACTATGAACAGAAAATAGGCCATTTCGTAAAAAGCACTACTGAGAAAAAATAAAGCACATTATACATGTGACCATTTTAAGATGTGAACAAGAACAATAAGCAAAAAAAAAAAAAAAAGGCACAATAGGAGGTGTTAGTTTCATTCATCCTATCTAGTCAAACATTCTGTAAGACCGTGCCTGGCCGTTTTCCCAGAAAATGGTCAGTTTTCAAACAATTGTACAGACTAGACTTATAACTTACATTTGGGGATTTAAACATTTAAACATTAAAAATCTCCTAAATTTTGAAACACAAAAAACGAGATGAAAATAAGGACTAAAGATTTACAAAAGTGAAAGCCGTTTGAAAAGCTATTTGGAATCACATACCACGTGACGTTCCATTCAAGCTAGTCCCGGTTCTAACGGAAAGACGTTTATTTGCAGGCAACGCTGGAGGAACACAGGGCAACTCATGTTTCAGGAAAGCCAAATTATCTCCATGATTTAGAGAAACTACCTCACCAAGTCTCCTCGCTGGCATTTTAACCTTTTTTTCCTTTTCCGGGCTAAACTCAGAACCTTTCATACTGTTGGTAGCAAAACTAGTCCCCCATTTCTGAATGGAAGAACTTTCTTCTGTGTTCATAAAACTTCAGAGTAAGATTTTCACCTCTTTGAGGACTAAAGGGGTAGAAGAAGCGAGAGGGGAAAACATAAAGAAAATGTGAAATTAAAAAGTGACTTTAAAACATGCAGTCAACTGTGTTTGGCTTTTTTTGTTTTTAAATGTCAAAATAGAACATCCACAAAAGAATCTAGATTTTCGTACTGAATCCAGGATTAGAGACGGCTATAAAGTCGTATTTACCAGTCAATCCCACTCAGTCTATTAATCCTCCAGGGTTAGTGGATCTGAAAGTGGGGATGAGAAGGGAAGGGCTGCAAGAGCAACAATGACCCCCAACAGTGCATCCGCCAACCCGGGAGCCCGTAGGGCAAAACCAGCCCATGCGGAGGCGGTACTGAGATTGGTTGAGAATAGGCAGTCAAGCAAATAAAACCGAAATGCTATTCTGTTAAAAAACAAAAAAACAAAAAACAAAAAAAAAACGCCTACATAAGAAGCTTAGTAGCTTTCTTCAGGCAGAAAGTCTTACACGCCCCTCCAGATGCAACCACCGGACACCTAGATTCATCCCTCCGCGTCTCCAGGACGCCAGGAACTCGCTCCGCCAAGGCTCCAACCAGACACCAGCTTCCGTTGCGGTGGGTCAACACCCGCTTTCCCTTAGGCCCGCCCCCTTGAGACACAACACGCATGCGCCCCAAGAAAACATCCAACCAGAAAGCTCATTGCTTCCTGGTGCTCTTCCCTCCCTCTCCGGGAGGAAACAAATTCCCGACGTAAGACTTAAAACGGGTGAATTTATGTTTTTGAAGGTAGCACATTGCCCCACAAGACCTAACACTGAATAAAACCCCAAACGCTCGACGAAGACCTGAAGAGCTCCTGACTTAACTTGTATGACTACCTGTGTTTATTAGGGACCGTTTAGAGTGTAGCTCCTGAAGACCGTTAGGGATGTGGGATTAAGTAAATTAGGCTTCCAGAGAATTTCGACAGATTCGAGGCGCCATTGGAAAGGAAATCAGGAATAGGGAGGCTGTCTAAGCAGGCAGTCACAAAATTTAATTCTTAGACGGTTTTAGAATTCACCGATGGTACCGGCTTTTTCTAGATTTCCTCGTGTTATAACGAATCGGCGATGAAGGGCTGAAGTGCTGCTTGACGTCACCGCTCCCACGTGTTCTTTCCCAGCTAGCGGCGGCGGCGCCTGCCAGGCTCAATCGCAGCGCAGCCCCCCACCCTCTTACTGATGTTGGATGCGAGAGCCGTTGCCTAAGTATGGTGTCTTTTCTCTACTCTCAGAATCGCGGGCTGGGGATGGCAGGGCTCGATCCGGAGAGCTGGCGAAGTTTCCCGGGGAGGCCGCCGCGTGTTCTGGGACTGTTAGGGGCTGCGGAGCCGGGCGGGTTCGGACCTACCTGGGGATCGTGACAGTGGGGCTAGGGCAGGAACTGGGGCCCGGAGCCACCCCCAGCCCGGATGTGAGGAACTAGGGGCATGTGAGAGAATGAGACTGTGAGGTATTACACCGTGACCTTGAGCTGCCAGGCAGAAGACCCTCCTGTAACCGAGGAATCCTTTCTGGACCGAAGACTGGGGCTCCCACCCCTTTCCTGATCTGCTAATTTTCTTGGACGCGTTACCTAGAGCTTTCCCTTTACGTCTAGTTAATCAAAGCCAAAAAATGTAGTCCGTGTAAAAGCTAAGTAACCATTTTATTTATTTTAAAACTTAGCTGTCTGCTTTCATAGAAGTCTGGACTTTAAAGGGATCTTAAGGCCCATCTTTAGAAAACCTTATAGTTAGTTTTTTGGTATCTTGATGAGTTTCTGTAATTAATGATCATTTTTTATTTTTGTTACATTTCTTTCCTTCGTTATTGGGCTCGTGGGTTGTACCTATTTGTTCACAATATGTTATATATAAATTTTATACCTGTAATCGCATTAAAAGATAGAACGACAATGTCAGAGCTACAGGACACCTTGGAGATGATTTAACTCCCTTAATTTCTAGGTGAAATTTAGTTGTGAAAGAAATAGTGATCTTTCCCCTTCGGTCTGCGAGATCTGAGCGTAGGCATTTGTTAAAATGACTTGAGGCTGGACGAGTTGACTCACACCGAGGCAGGAGGATCACTTGAGCCCAGGAATTCGAGACCAGCCTAGGCAACATAGCAAGACCGCGTCTCTACATAAAATTTTTTAAAAATTAGCCGGACGTGGTGGGGCGCACCTGTAGTACCAGCTACTGAAGAGGCTGAGGTGGGAGGATTGCCTGAGCAGAGGAGGTCAAGGCTGCAGTGAGCCATGATCTGCCTGCACTCCAGCCTGGGGGACAGAGTGAGACCCTGCCCCCCCCCCAAAAAAAAGGATAGATACATTGATCTCCCAACTAACTCCTTTAATGTCAGAGCTGGGGTTAAAACCCAAGTAGCCTTATCCCCATGTATTCAGTGCTCCTAAGCTTGTCCTTTATGCCTAAAGCCAGCCTTTCAAACAGAAAGCAGTGTACAAAAAAAGTATTTTTTGCTCTAGTTAATAAAATGAATTATGGTTATCAGTCAGTCAGACGTTACTTCCTAAACCTGCTGCAAATAACCTGAAAAGTCATGTGGTAGAGCCCTATTAAGTTATATCAAGCAAGTTACTTCAGATCAGTTTAGACATTTGACCTATTATAGACTAAAAGATATCCCTGGAACAAAGAATACAGCTCACAAGATTTTTTTCTTTCACTTCTTTTTTGTCCTTGTTAACTTTTACTGTATTTGCTTTCTCTTTCCCACTCTCTCTATATAGATACACTTTCTGCTGAACCATTTGCAAATAAGTTGCAGACATCATGAACATTAACCTAATTTCAGCATGTATCTCCTTAAGGTCATTGTGTTACATAGCTTCACTAAGATTATCATACTTAAGAAGATAATATATTCAGATTTCCCCAGTATCTCAGAAATGTATGCATTTTTACCTCAAAATGTTTTGATTTAGGATTCAACCAAGGCTTACACATTGTGTAAAAGAATACTACACAGTAATGTTGTGTACTTTATTGCATTCTGCCATGAAACACTAGTGTTGGAACCCATGTTTGGGATGCTAAGTTTAATCACTTCTCTTATGTGTTTGGCCATTTGGAAAATATTTTTGGATAGACAACAGTCATCATAGTACTTATTAGAAATATTTTATGGGTCTCAGGATAGAATGGGGAAAATACTTTGAAGTCCCAACACATTATTTAGGCCCCAGCTTCTCATTTACTACCTTTGTAAAAAGTGACCTAATATAAGTTCCTTAACATTTCTGAACCATTCCTCCCAAGATTATTAGGGAAATTATAGGATAAGTGTAATTTATATATACTACCTGGAAAAAGAAGGATAGCATGACATTTAATTTTTTTTAAAAATAGTAACATGTATGTTAAAGAACTGTAATGTCAGAATAGAGGAAACTACTTTCACTTATTAAAAAGGAAGAGGCTTTTAAAAAATGATTAGCCAACAGAAGTTTATATTTCATCAAAGACTACTGAAATTTCAAGGGGACTCATACTATAACTCCCTCGTTTTTCAGGTAAAAAAATCAGGCCTCACTTGGAGACCGTCAAGCAAAGGTTGGAAACTACTTTTCCAGAACAGAAAAAACTGATGCATCAGAAAAGGTTTGCGCTTGATGGCTGATAAGGTTTCTCTTTACTCTTAAATGGTTCTATGCTATATTTTGTTTGGCACAAAGTAACTTAGCACCGCTTAATCATTCCCAAGATCTAAGTTGGGGGTTCTAGAATTCTCTTAGCCCTTCTGTCTTCAGGTTTCAGGGATATAACCAGAAAGTACCCCTGGTGGATCTTTGCCACTACGCTAACATTTGCTGTAATGTCTGGAAACTAGGATCAAATAAAAGGTCAACCACATTGCTGCTACCTGTTCTCACCATTGGGTGGTTTGTATGGCTGTTGGGTTTAGCATAGCTTATGTTTAAATAACTGCAAAAAGAATGGTGAAAGATTTAGAAGACCTCAAACTAGCAAGTAAATCTGAAAATCATTAATTCACTTAGTTGTCGCCAGTACTTTCTAGAAACAGTTGCCTGCAATTATGTATACCATAATCTTGATATTAGTGACTATAGAGAATAGCTTTAGAGATTTAAACAGAAAGAAAACTGCTGATGTCAGCTCTTGAGTTAACTGTAGGTCTGGAAAAAAACATTTGAAAAAATAAGATATACAATTGAATGATTGTCGAGAAAAGAAAATAAATCATAATGTTAACACAGTCTGAGGAGTAGAATTATTCCATCTTTTATTTTCCAAATTCTCAAATATTATATTACTTTTATAGTATGATGAACTTTATTTCATTTAAAGAAGGAAATATATACTGCTTAAGGAATGTATATTAAAACATAATACCAAGAAAATAATTTTAAATAAAGTAAGTTCATGCCGACAACACTTGGGGTGTGCCTCATCTATGTCTTATCAAAGACTTCCCACTAACAACCATCATTTGTTACCATGAGTGTAATAAGAGGGAGGTGGGGGAGAAGGCAGCACAATGAACCAGTCCTTGAAATGTATGAAGATTTAAAGATTTCATACTTTCTGCCTCTCTGATCTCTGGTTGAAAAGTCAATGAATATTAATTTTAGCCCAAAGAAATACAAGGACAGGAATTTTTAAAAAGAGAACCAGATTTTGGCATTATGATTAGCAATCTTGTATATTTCTAAGGTGTTATAAGTAAGGACATCAGATGGCTTTTCTTTTTTGAAGTGAACTGTAGAAAGTCCAGTTTGCTGCATGTTCTCTTGAGGTGCAGTGAGTGTTCTGTACTAGTTCAGCGTTTGAAAAGGCTTGGGGTCTAGTGGATGATCTTTTGTACTTTCAGCTAGAAGCCTGTCCGTAAACCAACTTCCTTAATGATTATTTTATTATCCTTGTTTTTGTTTAAGTTCCCACAAAACAATGGTTTTATTTAATACTTTTTCCATAGAAGTTATCTTGCCAGTTCTTAGACCTTTGCAGCCTGTTTTCTGGGTGAGAATCCAAAAGAACTCTAGTTTGGAATGCTTGCTAACAATATTTACCACTCTGCATCTTGTTCTTTGGCAGGGATTAGAAAATTGTACAATATCATTTTTGTTTATTAAGCTTTTTCTTTTGAGATTAATGTAGATTCATATGTATTTCTAAGAAATAATACAGGGATCCTTTCTTTGTGCCCTTTACCCAGTTTTCCACAGTGTAACATTTTACCAAGCTATAAAGTACAACATCACATCCAGGATACTATTATTGATACAGTCAAGATGCAGCACATTTTTATTGCAAAGCTGTCTCATGTTGCCTTTTTATAGCAGCATCTACTTTCCTCCTAACCCCACTTCCTCCTCAACCCTTGCAACCATATGTTTCTCATTTCTGCAATCCTGTCATTCTAAGAATTATATAAGAATCATACAGTAACCTTTTAGGACTGGCTTTTTCACTCAGCAGAATTCTCCAGGCTTTTGCATGTATCAGTACCTCATCTTTTTTTATTGCTGAGTTGTATTACATAGTATAGATGCACCAGTTTGCTTAACCATTCTCCACTGAAGAACATCTGGGATGTTTCCAGTTTTTGACTATTATGAATTGAATTTCTGTAAACATTCACATACAGGTTTTCCTGTAAACCTAAGTTTTCATTTTTATGGGATAAAGGCCCATTTGCATGTATACAGCCTTAAGAAACTATCAAACTGTTTGCCAGAGTGCCTGTACCATTTCCTATCCTACCAAGAATATGTGAGTGATTCTGTTTTTTGGCATCCTCACCAGCATTTGGTATTGTCAATTTTTTATTTCAGCCATTCGGATAGGTGTGTAGCTTCTTTTGGTTTTAATTTGCATTCCCCTAATGACTAATCATGTTGAACATTTTTTAATGTGCTTATTAGCCATATGTA